AGCACCACTGCTACCACCACCACAAGCACTCAAGCGCCCCGCGGCCTTGCACCCAAGAGTCGACCCCCCAGTCCCCCTAGTCGGCCGTGACTTGTACACATTGAGTACATGGACGAGCAGCGGAAAAACGATCTGGCTGGCCTCTCCAACGATCTAACGGCCAAAAGCTCGGCCCGCGCCGGGAAAAATGGTGGACGAGAAGAAGCAAGCAAGCAAGCAAGCAAGGAAAATGCCGCCTGGTTCTCGAAGCCGGTTCTCGCTGTAGTGCGACGCGTGTAACGCTGTAGGCTGTCGGTACTTCTGGTGACAGCGGCCAAATTATCGTCGCCAGTCAAGCATCCGGCCTGGCCACCAGCCCGCCGTGAAACACGACCGTCGCAGTGTCTACGAGGGCGAGGCTGCCACGACCTGTACTCACTTACGCAGTTCCGCCATCTCTGCAGGGAAAAACGCGCGATGCGCAAGCCACCCATGTCTTGCGCCGTTCCGTCGTGATCGACACCGTCCGTGTTCAAAGCAGATGAACGTCTAGCCGATGCGGCGCCTGCTGCCATCGCCCACCCACCCACCCACACACTCTTCATCTGTCTGTGTCTTTCCTTCTCTCGCATACAGCCCACAGAGACAAACGCCTCTACTTCCACACGCACAACGAATCACACTACGACTCGCTCCGTCGCGCCCCGAGACACGGTCTCATCGCTGTGCACTTGTTTCTTTTTCTCGTTGAAGCACCCTAACTAACCACCAGTGTTTGGGTCGTTTTGCATGTTTCGCACCCGTCCAAAACGCCCTTTGTGTTCACTGTGTGTATGTGCGTGTGTACGTGTGCGTGTATGTGTGTAGCAGAATCGAGAGCAACAAAAAAAGAAACTAAGGGCATGCGCAATAGCCCCAAACTTACACAGACCCGGCCAGAAAAAGACCCCAAAATATCACACAATCCAGTACCGAACAAAGCACGGTGGACGGCGTTGCGGCGTCACCAGTCCCCGGTTCCCAAAACACTGCCAAGAAAGGCGGCCCTGGGGGCTGGCGGATGAGTGCGGGTTTCGAAATGACAGGATCGCTCGCCCATAGCCAAACCGCAACTTTTTTTTTCCGTCGGCCACACACCAATTTGCCATCTTGGGGCTGGCTGGCTGTAGAAGACTATGTAGGTTTGATGAGCGCATGGGTACCTGGGGACTTATCGGCACCACATGCCCGTCCGCCCCCCTCGCTTTCATCATGCTTGGGGCCCACGACTCTCTTCTTGCGTGTGAGTGTATGTGTCCATTTGTTCCGCCCACCATATGTCACTAGTAGTGCATTGCAACGCACAACACTTGCCATCAGTTCATGTTTGAAGATATCGCCGGGTCCATTAGTTTTGGTTTTTTTTATCGGCCGTCGTTTGCAAACTTGTCATGGATTTGGGGTGCGTGTGTGTGCTACGGCAGAAGCTGCATTCAGCCTTGGAAACGCTGTTCCTTCCCACACACGCAGCACACACACACACACCCCACACACCACACACGGCCGCTGAGCGGTAGTGTCAGGTAGTACAGGTCCCTTCATTTCGGAATGATGCACCATCTTCCACGTAGGTGGATTTCCGCGCTGACAACACACACTCTCACTCGATATTTCCGCACTCAACCCACTCCTCCCACTCACGCATCATTAACATACCCGCCCACACACTACTGTTTCTGTCAATGAGCCTGAACTGAACCAATGGCCCCACCCCGGCACTCAACGGCAAGTCTGTTCTTGACCTCATTTCTTCCTACTCGCTCCATTCACACACGCAAACGTGCCTTGGTGACAAGGGGACAAACCAGACCCAGCCCTTTTTTTCCTTCTCCCTTTGCTTGGGTTCCAGGCCGTCGTTACGTCAGTACCGTCGTCGGGACGGGTGCACATTTGCCACGCGCCTGGATAGATTGTTGTACCCTCTGATTCATCAAACCCCGTCCCTTTCATCTCCACCGCCCCGGCTTTCAAGTCCCAATCAGCCCTTTTGGCACTTTGCCAATCGTGGCGCTTGCTTGCTCGCTGAGGGGCAAAACCGTTTGGCGACAAGGTCCAGAAGTCAGTAGCTCACAGACGCTGCAATCCCCTCTCCGATCTATCGATACGCTGAGAGTAGCTCCGGAAGAAAAGAAAAAAAATAAAAAGACCACAGACACGCCAAAGGCCCCCTCCCCAATTCAACCCCCTCCCCTACCCTTACATCCTTACCCTGGCCCATGTGCTTTTCCTTTCTTCGCTTGCAGGTCCATTAATCCATTATTCCACAGAGAAAGCGCCGCAATGCTCCCCATACTGCATGCAGACACAAGAGGAAAGGCGCCGTGGCCGTCTCGAGGCCATCGATAATTCCATAGCCCTAACTCGTCCACGCCGGCTTCTCTGCCCCTGCCGCTAGTACTACACTGCCGAATCCCCAGTCACTTGACTGTGTTGGCCGGCCCGCTGCTCCTCGACGCTCTGATGTTCGTTCTGCGGAACTGACCCCTGCTCATCCGAACCAGTGGGTGCAACCTCAGGGCCCGTGGCCTCACTCGCTGAGCTGGTGGCCGGCTGAAGAGCCTCGAGCCCTTTGCCATGCTCAACTCTGTCAAACATGCTGAGTTGCCTCTTCGAGGCCACCCGGAGCCCTCGCCACACGTCACTTGCCTTGCTCTCTTCCAACTGCCGCTTTTCCTCGTCGCCATCAGCCATGTCCATGTCCATGTCCCTCATTTGCACCCGTTTGCCATACCACTCTGCGTCTGGCACCTTGAACCTGGTCCTGGGCGTGAGCTTGCTTGCCATTATCCACTACTGTCAGTCGGGCCAACGGAGCACGTACCTATCGCTCTGCCGCAGCTGCGAAAGCCCCTTTTCTCCCTCATTGTTGTACAGAAAGTCAAACATGCTGGGCACTCCCATAGGCCGAGCTGCCTTCTTGCTCACTACCGCCTTCTGTGCCCCAGTCTTGGCCTGCTGCAAGTCCGTTGTGGGGACTCGATCTCGGGTGAATGGCTGACAGTTCTCCATTTTCCACCTTACCCAATTCTTGTCTCGTGAGAGCACCGTATCCACCATCCGGTAGTAGAACTTGCCATCCGGCCCCTCCTGCAGGTAATTTGCAATAGCGTTCTTGATGCCCAATGCCCACTCGGTCTGTGCTCTGTGGTCAGCCGGGTGAAGGATCATCATCGTCGCAGAAGCGAGTATGCGTGCGTGACTATCATCAGGACAGGTCCACTTGAGTGGCGACTTACCTGCTCCGCCCCAAGCGTGAAATTGTACTGCATCGCCTTCTGGGCATTCTGATAGAATGGCTTGCTCTTGGACTTCTCCGTCAGGGTCAGGAGAAAGTCAATCAGAATCAGTGCTTGGACCAGGATGTGCCGTTGGAAGGCGAGGTCGCTCAGCTGGCAATCATCAGTTAGTTAGGTAGTCATAGCGCAGGATCCACTGTGGCAGTGCCACCAAGTACTTGCCTCAAGTCTGAAAAGGTCACGGCTTGTGAGGTATTTTGGGTTGAAGCTGCTGGCAAATGCGTCGTAATCTTCCCCTTCATCCTTTGATACTTGTCCCTTCTTGCGCTCAGAATCCCCCGCTTGGATCACTTTGGGGACCTCTTTGAATTTTGCTAGCGTTGCCTCTAAACCCTGCTGAAACTGTTTGAAATGATCCTCTTCGAACAATCTTGGTGGATTCGAGAAGGAATGCTGTAAGGACCAGAATACCGGGTACAGAGTGTCGACATCCAGAGTCTTGGGTTTCCCATCTTTTGCTTCGTCACCATCACCAGTCTGTGCTGTCCTTTCCTCTGACTCGGGCTCCTCTCTGATTTTAGATACAGAATCATCGCCATCAACTTGCATAGACTCATCCTGTGGCTGTGAATCCTTCAGAAAATCCTCGAATGTGGTAATGTTCTCGACGTGGAAATTGCCCCGCAAATTCACCGAACTTTTATCGCCCAAGGGAAAGCTCTGAAACATGAAAATATAGACGCGCCCGCAAAACACCGGATCCTCGGCGCGAGACAAGCGTCGAAGAAGCTCGTTGCATAGTCGTAAGATGACAAGGTCCTTGTTCTTGGAGTTGATCTGGAAGCTGGTGAGTGAGACAGCCAAGATCAAAGCATTCAACCTACCGCAATGATGGCTTCCCTCCTCGACTCCAGAAAGTTGAACACAACCCGGCACCCTGAAATGGATTGACTGTCAAGAAGTTCCTCGGTGAGCAGCAGGACAAGCTGTGGAGAACATAAGTCTGTGTGCTTTGTTAGATATACGCCGGCCTGGATGTAAGATGGACATAGGAGGTACCTCGGTCTCCGCAATATTGCAAAATATCGAGGAGGTTCCAAATAGTAACGAACTCCGGCGCCTCAATTCGAGTGGATCCCTGGACATGTAAGCAAGTATCGCAGGGAGGCAATAACAAGATTATGGCGGCTGACAAGATTGGCATAGAATACACTCTTTGCTGCGCTCTCAACTGCAAGAGTGCGCACTTCCTTTCCACCTTCGATTTCACCCAAAAGAGGCTCGCCCTCCGGTACAAGCTCAGACACCTGCAGTGGGGGGTCGATGGAGGCAACGCGCTTGACCTCACGTGCGCGGCGCAACAGAAAGTCAAGTCTAGGTGCTACCGCATCTGCGGGAAGAAGACCAGGCACGGCCATTGAGCGAGAATACCCGTCGCGTCCAGGCTTCAATCACGGGCTGGAATAAGCAGTAGCGCAGACGTGCCTGTGCCGCTGGAGAACAGGATGATAGGGTTGGGCTTGGCAATAGTGCTACAGTGGCGACTCTGAGCAAGCGGAGAGGTTATGTCCGTATGTCAAGTTCTGGTCATGGAGAGAGAGTGAAGCTACATTTGGGTTCTGAATGGCTTGATAAAGTTGCGCCACAAGTACGCTTAGCGACAGGGATCCGTGCTTGTGGCTGAACGCGTCCACCGCGTCGCGTCTCATCGCATCCTACGTACGTACACTACGCTTACTCTCCACACACGGACTGCCACAACCCACAAATCACACAATGGCTCCGGCGAGCCCATCAGCACAAAACGATGACTTTGACGATGATCTGGATGATATACTCAAGGATGTTATCGAGCCTAGCAATATAGTTGAATCCACCGAACCCCCCACCCAGCCAGAGCCATGGAGGAAGAATAAGAGCCAGGATGCCGATACCGGCTTGGGCGTCGACGAGGACATTGTCATAACCAAGAAGCGTCAGCCTGCACCAAAACTTGACGACCAGCGACTCCTGTCGGACCCGGGAATTCCCCGTCTGCGTAGAATTTCAAAAGATCGCCTGCGTTTTAAGGGCAAGGGACATGAGGTATGTGCCAGAGAGAATGCATTCACACTTCGCGGCTCTGACCAAGACACAGTATGGAGATATTGCACGCATGCTAAACATGTACCAACTTTGGCTCGACGACCTGTACCCCCGCGCCAAGTTTGCAGATGCCCTCGCCATTATCGAGAAAGTCGGACATACAAAACGCATGCAGATTATGCGGAAAGACTGGATTGACGAAGGAAAGCCACGGCGTGCTGCGGACCGAGACAGCGACGAAGAGGATAGGGCTGCAGAAGAGACGACTGTCCAGCAAACCACAGAGGGTATGGATGGCGTGCAGAGCGGCATTGGCAATGGTCTCGAACAGCAAAGAGGTGTGCAAGCGCCGGCATCAGATACGGCAGAACACACAGCAGGTGATGGACCTGACGAAGACGAACTAGACGCTCTGCTAGCACAAAGCGAACAGCCCACTACTACACTTACAAAGACGCTCCCCACACGACCCATGCCTACTCAGGATGATCCTTTCGCAGACGAGATGGAAGCCATGGCGGACATGGATGACATGTGGGATTGAGTAGATGTGTGAAGCACCTCCATGATGTAATTGCATAGCGCGGCGTTTGACGAATGTCTACGAGTTACGATTGGGCCGCATACGGACGATATCATTTGTGTCAAATTGTCAGCGCCGGCGCCAACAGTAATAGAGTTTCGGCGTGTATGATCGAGCACGGTTCCTAGCGGCAACTGTACATCTGCCTCGGAACCCAGGCCAAACATTGAAAAAACTGGTTTCCGAAAGCGAGGCCAGTTTTTATATTCACCCTTGAATCAAACAGGAACCAAAATAGTCTGATGGTACCCAACGAAAGTAGGGGTAAGAAGGCGACTGTAGAGATTAGAAGAAGAAAATAAGAACAATTGACAGTAGCCAAAAAGAACTTGGGATGATCGAGACATCTGCAGAAATAATACTTTCCTCATATTGCTTCTACCATACACCGTTAGTGGTCGAATCATTTTTCTTGTTACAGCTGCTGCGCCGTGGGGAGGTGCGCCCCGCAGCGCCTCATTCCGCGCGAGGCTTGGCGTGTCCAGCAACGTCATCTATTTTCTCAAGCGCACCATTAGCCACAGGCTCCCAACCACGTTCGCTCTCAACCCGTGAACATGGAGGCCTTGTCTGGTCAACTGGAGGAGCTACGGCTGAACAGCAGTAAGCTCAATGAAGATGAAGGCTGGATAGACTCATTAGCCGGCAAGCAACAAGCACCCAAGCGCCAGCGGAAAACCAAAGAGGCCATCAAAAAGGAGCTCGAGCAAGAGTTTCTGACGCCCTCCCGGTCTTTCAATACGCAGTGGCTTAACCGATTCCAGCAGCGCTGGGATGCTCCTACAAACTATCGCAGTCTGTTTCAGATCGCCCCGACACAAACCCGCACCATTATCCGCTTCACGCGAGAAGGCCTAGAAGGCAGAGTCACTGGATACAAGGAAGTCACTGTGCCTGCAAACTCTGCAACCGCTAAAAACTCTACATCCCTCCTCAGAAAACCCGCTAACAGAGCCGAATTCGTCCGTGGTGCCGCTGGCTTTTTCCCTTTTGCACCTGGTGGCTTAGAAGGCGTGGAAGCAATCGCGGCAATTGAGGATGAGGCCATTCAACAGCAAGAAACTGCTCAAGGAAAGAAGACTGGAGGCCTCGACCGGGTGATCAATTTTAGCGCTGAAGGTGGTCTGCTGGAAATTCCACCTGGGTTCACGCGCGGCCTGGATTTTCGGAAGAAGCCCGCTACAGATTCGAACGTCGCCCAGGAGGTGGAGGACACTCTGGGACAGGCATCTGCTCCTGCAGATGAAACCAAGGCTGATGAAGAAGCTGACACGGACAACCTCGGTGCTAACGGGCTTGATGTGCCTGAGGATGGTCAAGATCCAGGAGAAGAAGAAATCGACGCTCTCTTGCCGGTAGAGTTTCCCGCTCTCGCTCCTCATGGGCCCCTTGCTATGGGCACTGCAAGAAAGGGTGGGAGAGAGTGGGCCCACATGGTTGACATCAACCGCGACATCACCAATTTCCGGGAACTTGTACCTGAAATGGCACGTGAATATCCCTTCGAGTTGGATACCTTCCAGAAAGAAGCAGTCTATCATCTCGAGAATGGGGATTCAGTCTTCGTAGCTGCACATACCTCCGCAGGCAAGACTGTCGTTGCAGAATATGCAATTGCGCTCGCTGCCAAGCACATGACCAAAGCCATTTACACTTCCCCAATTAAGGCTCTTAGCAACCAAAAATTCCGCGATTTTCGTCAAACATTTGATGATGTTGGCATCCTGACTGGAGATGTGCAGATCAGGCCAGAAGCAAGCTGTCTCATCATGACTACAGAGATCCTTCGAAGCATGTTGTACCGTGGCGCTGACTTGATCAGAGACGTTGAGTTTGTCATCTTCGATGAGGTGCACTATGTCAACGACCTGGAACGTGGTGTGGTATGGGAAGAGGTCATTATTATGCTCCCTGAGCATGTGACTCTCATTCTCTTGTCTGCTACTGTTCCAAACACCTATGAATTTGCTTCTTGGGTGGGTCGCACGAAGAAGAAAGACATTTATGTTATATCCACGCCCAAGCGGCCCATACCCTTAGAGCACTATCTTTGGGCTGGAAAAGGCATGCACAAGATTGTCACAGCAGACAAGAAGTTCATTGATAGCGGTTGGAAAGACGCAAACGACATTCTCTCTGGAAAAGACAAAGTCAAGGCACCAGCCACAAACGACTCACAGGCTGGCAGAGGAGGTGGTGGCCGTGGAGGCTCATCTGCTAGAGGAGGCCAAAACCAACGGGGAAGAGGACAACAAGGCGGCGGCCGGGGCGGTGCTCCCCGTGGCGGAGGCCCACCAGCAGCCAGAGGCCGTGGAAATATTGCAAGGACAGGCCGTGGCGGAGGCCGTACCACAGCTGCACAGGATCGCAACATATGGGTGCATCTCATTCAACATCTGCGCATCAAAGATCTGTTACCAGCCTGTATATTCGTGTTCTCGAAGAAGCGTTGCGAAGAAAATGCAGAAGCACTCTCGAACATTGATTACTGCACCGCCGCAGAAAAGAGTGCTATTCATATGACCATCGAAAAGTCACTGGCTAGGTTAAGTCGCGAAGACCGTGAGCTCCCACAGATCAAACGTTTGAGGGAGTTACTTGGTCGAGGTATTGCGGTCCATCATGGTGGCATGTTGCCCATTGTCAAAGAGGTCGTAGAGATACTATTCGCCAAAACGCTCGTCAAGGTCCTCTTTGCAACTGAGACATTTGCCATGGGCCTTAACCTCCCTACCAGAACAGTCGTCTTTTCCGGATTCCGGAAGCACGACGGTCGAGAGTTCCGCGACTTACTTCCTGGTGAATACACACAGATGGCTGGTCGTGCAGGACGTCGAGGCCTCGACACAGTTGGCACTGTCATCATCTGCGCGCCTGGCGCCGACGAGGCACCACCAGCAGCAAGGCTTCGACAGATGATGCTTGGCGAACCCACCAAGCTCAGGTCACAATTCCGCCTTACATACAACATGATGTTAAACCTTTTGCGTGTTGAAGCACTGAAGATTGAAGAGATGATCAAACGTAGTTTCAGCGAGAATGCGACCCAGGCTCTATTGCCAGAGCACCAAGGCAAGGTCAAACTCTCCGAAGCTGAATTGGAGAAGATTAAACGTGAACCTTGCGACATCTGTGACATCGACCTAGAAGCCTGCCACCAGTCCTGTGAGGACTACAAGAGACTGACCAACGAGATGCATTTGAGCCTTCTCATCAACCCTGTTGGACGGCGAGTCTTTAGCAAGAATCGACTGATTGTTTACAAAAAGGTACACTGTCTACTCCAACACTCGAGATCGGTCTAACTTGTCGCTGCTAGGATAACAAACGCACAGCAGGCATGCTTATGCAGGATGGTACGAGCAGAGGTAATGAACCTACGGTGAAGGTCTTGGAAGTGGCGCAACATCAAGATCGTAAGCCTGACGACTTACTACCGTATCTCGGTCCGTTCGCAAAGTTTTATCGCAAACTGCCGAACAACCCGGGAGATCTGATTCTTAAGACCGCATTTGTACCCTTGAACGATATCGAGTGTTTTACAAAGACTACCATTGACGTCCCTGACTCTGTCCAAAATCTCAACCGAAAGAAAGGTAAGCGCCCGCCCTAAGGCCGCAATACGGCACTAAAAATACCTTAGATACGCTAAAGTTGGCCCAAGACCAGTTCTTGCCACTGTGCGGGTCATGGGACTACGAAGACTGGGATGAATACGATTACAGCCGCATCAATAGCCTCAAGTTCCGAGAACTGGAAGAGGCTCGCAAGAAGGAGGGACTAAATGCGGTTAGCAAAGAGTGTTTGAGGTGTCCCAACTTCCTAAAACATGTAAGGAATGCGAACTGAGTAGCCGCATATGTATGCATGATGCTAATCGCTGCAGTTTGCCATGGAACACGATCAGTGGCTCATCAAAGAAAACATCCATGCACTCCGACAGCTCATGTCAGACCAGAATCTCCAGCTCCTTCCCGATTACGAACAGCGTATCCAGGTCCTCAAAGACCTTGGCTTTGTTGACGAGGGCTCGCGTGTAGAGCTAAAAGGCAAGGTAGCCTGCGAGGTATGCCCCTCATCTGTCTCATTACTTTCGAGTCATGTCCTTACAGCATCTAGATCCACTCGGCAGACGAGCTGGTCCTTACGGAACTTGTTTTGGAAAACGTACTCGCCGAGTATGAGCCCGAGGAGATCGTCGCACTGCTCTCGGCGTTTGTCTTTCAGGAAAAGACCGACGTGGAGCCCACTCTGACAGCGAGCCTGGAACGCGGCGTGGCCAAAATTATCCAAATTTCAGAAAAGGTCAACGAGATTCAAACTAAACATCAGGTCATCTTGTCGGCGGATGACTCGAATGACTTCGTCAGCAAGCCCCGCTTTGGAATGGTCGAGGTCGTCTACGAGTGGGCACGCGGTATGTCATTCAATAGGATAACGGATTTGACGGACGTCATGGAGGGTACAATCGTCCGCGTTATTACTCGTTTGGATGAGACATGCCGTGAAGTCAAGAACGCAGCTCGGATTATCGGAGATCCGACGCTCTTCCAGAAGATGGGAACATGCCAGGAACTTATCAAACGGTATGTACACCTTTTTTGTTTCCGGAATCTCGTTCCGAGTTCCACGGTCAGGGTGTTGAATGATCGCGGTATTTGTTTGCTGACGGCAGTCCTGAAACAGGGACATTTGCAACTGTGCCAGTCTGTACCTGTAGTGGGCCCGCCAGCTTACAGGTACATGCTTTCAAAAAGACGGCCTGGGTAACCTGGGCGCATGGACCATGATGGGGCAGGCCGAATGTTTCAAGTTTTTGTTTGAACGGGAGCATGGATCAGGTCCTGCAACAAGGAACATTTCCTTCCCGCGCCACTTGTTGGGAAGGGAGACGGGAAGATGGCCATTGCGATCGACAAAACTCGCTTTCGCTTATCGGTTTCAGGCTCCGTGTTTTAGCTATGGACATGGGGAGTTCTTACGCTTCCCCGACAACAGGTACGCGGTAACATCATGAATCAAACACTACCTGGGAATCCCGTGAATGTGGCTTGATAAACACGACAGCCTATCGTGGCCATGACGATGGCCTTGTTTCAGGTCTCCAACCCCAGCGAAAATGCGTACTGGGAATAATTTGCAATTGCACTACACATGCCAAAATAGCCATCCGAAATTTGCAAATCATATTGCGTACGCTCTTTTCTTTGTCTCCCCCTTGCTAGGATCATTACGCGCGCAACTTGTTCAATTGCCCCAATGTTTATGTCATGATGCTAATTCCTTGGCTTTTTGTTTCCAACTACAACGAACAAGATTACCCCATCCAATACGTATCATTATTATTACCATGTCTTGTGGATCATATCGCAATGATCTCCCTCCCTCATAGAAGTAAAAGGAGATGATGGCTAACATGGAAGGTGAAGCGGACAATAATACAAGGAAATTACCCACATCGCAATGCACGCACCTTCGGAACGGGCAACAAGACAACGCACATACGCGCGCGAACGTACACGGGGAAACACAAGTAAACAAACCAGCGTAACGTGCGCAAATCGGCAAATTACATGGTCTATCCGCTTCTGCATACTAGATTTGGACTTTCTTTTTTTGGGGGGTTCCGCGGGAGAGCGTGCATCGCGTATATGTGTGCGTATGTATGTGCGTGTATTGGGGTGCGGGTGCATGCGTGAGTACGTTGTGTAGATGTGCTTCTTTGTTCGTTCGTGCTTGTGGCCGTTTGAACGGTTAGTAGCGCTGTTGATGTGTATACAGGATCTTTGTGGGTCGGGAAGGGTGGGTGGAGGTGTAGGAGGGCAGTTTACAAATGATAGTAGGATGCGTGATGGAGGTGGGAGCGTGGAGTAGTATACTGTAATGATATTTTTGACTTTGTTCTTGAATGCATGGTGTGAATGGAGGGATTTTACACAGATCTTTGTGATGGGGACTACTTATTGAAGAGCTGAATTTATGTCTCTAGCGAGCTTTCAGCCACTATCACAATCATATCTTGACATTCTCCCGTGCGTATTCTTTGCTCTATCCAGATGTATGTGGCGTTTCCAACTGATAGTTGACATGAAGTCGTGACTTGCATCTGTATATTCAGTCCTCTCATCGCCGTTGGTATATTGAGCACATCCTAACCACCTCTTAGCAGGTTCAATCAAAATTCAGATTCGTACTTGTTAAGTGACCGCAGAAACAAAAACGGTAGCATTGTATGTCAAATCGTTTACTGGGAATGTCCCTTGGATAACATATAGATGAGGAGCTTTATAAATCGATCACTTTTCACCTTCCAAGGCAGCTATCCCCTTGAGTTACACGGAATAAATCTTGGAGAAGAGTTTGGTAGTTATTCGGCACTTATAATCCTCAGTGCGTAAAACTTCCTTGGGTAATAATGTATTAGTGAATAATAGCTCAGGGAATATGGTATGTGGTTGATTATGAAAAGGGAAGTGATTTGCCAATATCCAGTCTAGATAGCTATTACAGTACGAACTAGTAGATATTCATAGCGAGATTCATGGTTCGCTATCTTTTTGCATTCTGACATGGAGCTTGATGGGAAATCTTTACTTGGATAGAAATCTGGATTCGCTCAGAAGAGAGACTACTAGAACAAGTGAAACCCCAAGGTGAATGATAAGAGTGAATATACCATCTTCTAGCTACATGCCCAAAATCGATTTGTTCTCTCGAATCTCTCTACAGTACTCGGACAGATTTTGATGATAGATGTAACATTTCCGCGCTATATAACTAGCATTGTTCTATGTAACCGAAAAGCCAAAAGGCAAGTTCCTTACGCAAATAATCCTGCATGTACCTCTTCAAGAGCTTCAAAAAATGCTCACAGTGGTGATATACAACCTATCTGCATCAGTGTATCGTTATTGTGCGTCAGGTAGGGAAATCGAGCACATCCTCAGCACCTTCGGAGATTTTGGTAAAGATAACTGATCTAAACAACCAAGCCACCCCACCTTATTAGTATTTGAGAGTTTTGTTGGCATGAGAGTTGGAGATATAGGGTTGAGATTTAGTAACAGGTTTCATTACGAGTATATCGATAAACCTAATCTGGAACGGGTATTCGACAATGTCCAACGTGCAAGTGGTCAACCCGTATGTTTGAGATCAATCCATTTCTGTTTGGTAATTTGTACAAATCTTCAAGATACTGCTGCGTGCAATGGGATGTAACTATCAACGTAACTAAGGTACTATATTAACCCCAACTTCGATCGAAGTGTGTAAATGTCCTGTAGTGTTCTGCGCACACTGCACAATATAGTACTGTTTTCCTCGGTCTATATTTAATATTAGCAGATCTAGGATTGCTGACTGTCAATTTGCCTCGCAACCAGCACGGATTATGCGCCTGGATGCCAAGTACAAGCAGGGTGTGATGTTTCCGCTCACTTCAACTTTGAAGTGTAAATTGGCGTACTTGTATTCTTGAATAAGCGCTATGATCTTTTCTGGGAGTAAGTGTTTGATAGCTCCGACTAGTCACGTACTGCTAGCGGGTAGCACTAATATATGAACTTTAGCTTTTCACTAAACGGCGATCATCTGTCATAAATATAACACTATGTGGGTAAGCGTGGGACAAGAGGCAGGAAACTAGATTCCTGATCAGCGCTGTCTCGATTTCACTACTCCATATGAGGAATAGGTATCGATTTCAGGGTCTTTTGTCTATGATCATTGCAGTGGTGGTGGTGATACCTGACTTGAAATGAATGAACGATTGCACAATAAAATATCCACACAAATCACAATACAGATCTCTAAGACAAAAAGAGAAGAGCAGCATCGCCGTTTCATCTAAATTCAGTCTTGAAAAGGGAACCTATAAACATGTTCCTGTATGTATCCAAAAGATCTAACAAAAAGAACGCCAGATATATTACCACCCAAATTTCTCAACCTGAACATCTACATCTCTACCATTGTATATCATCTTCGCACACGTATTTCTGACATCCCTTACCAAGCCATCGGGCCCACTAACTACAACACCCGTTCTCATCCCTTTCCTTGTTTCCTGTTCTACCCACTCCCTCAGAATATATCCGACATTTGGTCGTCCAGCCGTACTAGTCGGGGGCGGAATGAGCACGTCCAAGCCCCAGTTTTCGAGTTCTTCGAGTTTAGTGTCCGGGATCCACAGGCGGTGGTCGGGCGCATGAGTAATCCAGAGTAATTTTACTTTCCTCTTGATGCGGGTGGAAGCGGTTTCGGGATCGGTTGTAGAGGGGCAGAGAAGGGAGTGAAGAAGGGGATATGCGACTGCGATTCCAGAGCCGCCTGCGATGAGAATGGTGGTATTGGAAGCTTCAAGCATATCCAGAGCGTGGGAGGAGCCATAGGGACCGTCAAGGCGGATGCGGGTTTGTGAGGTAGTGCGAGCATGTTGTAGGAGGGTATGGGTAAAGCCTGATTCGGCTTGGGCGCGGATGAGTAGAGTGAACCATGCGTGTTTTCCTTGCGAATCGTCGTTTGTTGTTATCGGAGCGGCGGAAAATATGGTAAAGGGATGAGATTGTATGGCGTGTTTGCGGGATAGGGCGGGTACAGTAAGGAATATGTGTTCATTCGGTTTCCACCCTTGCCTCATATTCTTCGGTGCGAGTGTAGACTTTCGAGAAGCTACCTCCCAGTTTGCGGATACGAGGAAGGTTTCGTCATCTTCGAGGACGGTAAGGGTTGCGGGATGCGTGCTCGATTTCAGCCATAGCCGATACACGAGTCTATCAATAAGGAAGATGGCGAGGGAAATACCAACATATGGCCTCGAGGTATGGTGGTGGAACCATAGGAACACCAGTCCGGCGACTTGTAGCACTATGTGAAGGCCCAGGAATATCTCGTACCACCTTTGCCGGAAACTGCCTAGACTCGTAAAATAGATCAACTCGTATGCGATGAAGGCAGCCAAGCCTAGAAGAACTACGCGGTTGAATAGGAACTTGGCCAGCGTGAAACCGAGATGTCTTAGCAGCCCGTACCATACAGCTATCATGCCCAGAAAGTGCAAGAAAGCCTCCAAACACATAAGTTCTCCAACTCTTCGATGGAAGATGTTTAGGCTTTCATAGGAATAGCCTGTTAAGAACTTGATAGGCTGATTCTTCGCGGCCAGAAGATATAGTAAAGGCAGATTTGCGACGAAGATGAGGCCACATCGGTCGGCAAACACGAAGAGGTAGAAGAAGGTCAAGGGCATGCGGTAGAAATTGTAGAAGATGTTCAAGCCAACCCATGCGAGGACAAGCAGTGAGACGGCGTTGGTAGGAAGGGTTTTGTTGATGATGGGTATGCGGGGCGGTTGGTATTGGAGAGCGGCCTTGAGTATGTAAAATAGTTGCCATACACCAACGCGCTTAGGCTGTGGTCGTCGTGAAGGAAGCAAGGGACTGGATTCGTCGGCGCTGTTGAATGTCTTCACAGTGGTGCTATCCGGTGGTGTTGCACTACCTTCTATAGTGCTGCTCGAGCTGCTCCAGGCTTCTGCATCCTCTGTGCTGTTGGTTTCGTTATTGCGTGTCTGGGTGGCAGCTTCCCGTCTCCGCCGGTGCAACATAAACTTTTCGCTCCAGTGCCATATTGAAAAGACAAACAAGACGGCTATCAGGACCATATTGTAGGTATTCAGAAGCCTCCGACTAAATAGGATAGCCACGACTAGCTTCCTAAAGCGTGGGTCTTCTCCAGGGTCATCAGGATCTACGAGAGGGTCGCCGCCAGCGGCTTTGAAGCTGTCATATTCATGCTGGAACCACGGTGCTGGGGTCGACGGGGTTGCTGTCAACGCGAAGCGGAGAGCGTCTCGTAGCCACGGTGGAGTAGCTTCCATGGTGCAAGATGGGATGGGTAGAGAACGGATGCACCGAGAGGCAGTAGCATATCAAATGGCACAGTGTTCCCCACGGTGATCGCGTCATGTCACACGCCCATGCACGCGCGCGGGTTGTCACGTGTGATAAGCTAGCTGGCTTATCTTAACTATTATGCCGAGGCTCGTCTAACTGAATTGAGACGGGATGCATTTCTAGCATTGCCATGTTATGTAGCTCTGTAAGTGCCTTGTTAAGCTTTGCCATTTTTTTAGTAAGAATAGCTGAAGAGCAAACTAATGACTTGGTTTGGCGACTACATACACACCATCTCCGATTTCTCGCTCATTTGTTTGTCCAATTGGCCTTCTCCTTGGCCGCAAAAGCAGCCATGCCAATCTTCTGGTCCTGGCTTCCAAACAAGCCATGGAACACCCTCCTCTCGTATTCGACACCTTCCCGGATGCCGAGATCCTGGCTCTTGTTCACCACCTCCTTCGCCGCCTTGACAGCGATTTGGCTGTAAGATGCGATCTTGGCCGCTGTCGCAATGGCGCCGTCAACGCACGCCTCTGGTGTCTCGAACACCTTTGCGACAAGTCCCCATTCACTTGCTTGTTGCGCAGTGATGTTGTCGCCTGTAAGAATAATCTCCATGGCTCTGGACTTGCCAATTGCTCTTGTCAGGCGCTGCGATCCACCGGCACCGGGAATGACACCCAGCTTGATCTCTGGCTGTCCAAACGTTGCCTTGGGTCCTGCATACATGATGTCTCCCATCATGGCGAGCTCGCAGCCTCCTCCTAGAGCGTAACCGTTGACAGCCGTGATGAGAGGCTTCTTAAGGAATGTGACGAGATCTGACCAAGACTCTATAAAGTCATTTCCATACGCATCGCTAAAAGTAAGGTCTTTCATCTCCTTGATGTCGGCGCCTGCCGCAAAAGCTTTCTCTGAACCGGTGAGGACGACGGCACCAATTGACTTTTCATTCTGAAAGTCACGCAGGGCCTGGTTGACCTCGAGGATCAGAGGGGTGCAGAGAGCATTGAGGGCCTTTGGCCGGTTAAGCTGGACTATATGATGTCAGCAGGCATGCTTGGAGCATTACTGTTACCGTGTGATGTAAGACTGATATATTTCAATGAAGCATTGAAGATTGATCTTCTGTACTTACTCAAACCAACGCCTCCCTTTGGCACCGAAACAAGCACATGCTCGTACGACTTGTCGGTAGTGATTCCCCTCACAAACCTAGGTAGGCCGGTAGACCGGAACTGGGAGGCTACCCTTGGTGCTGAGCGGAATGCTTGCATATTGATTATCGCCAATTGGACGTTCACTCTCGAGACCAGCTCTTGGATATTGCAGTTGAATCAAGGAGAGCACATGTAAAGATGAGAGCGCACATGCATATGTAGTACATAGCTTCCCTCCAAGTGGGTAGCATCGGCCACCTCGGTAAAGCGCCCGCCAAAGCCTGGAATTGCTGGGAAGCTGCCAATGACGCCTCTAGATTTTTTTGGGACTAGCGCCATCCCAAATGTGTGCTGCCCTCAGCCACAGTCCTGTTCCGCAGGCTCATGATTTTGACACGACTCAACAACTTGCCCCTACTAAAGACGCGCCATTCCGACCACACCATCGCCAGTGTCGCCATATTCACGATACAGTATTCATCGCACAAAACCGAAAATTAAGCGACGCAGCCATGGACGCCCCAGAGCCTGATACCCCCTTCTCTGCGGTAACAGCGCAAACCACAAAGTATGGACGGGTAAGTTATTTCCTCGGGGGGCATCGCGCATTTAATCGCCGACGCGCGATAATATATATGAGGCGACGGACAAATAAGCCGAACAGGCTTTTGGAAGATGGTATATTTGCTAATGCGTTGCGCAGATGTTCCAAGCATACCTAGACAAGTCAACGCCATACACCACATACCGATGGGGAGGAAGCGGAGTCCTCTTCCTGCTCTTTGGTCTGCGCATATTCCTCGCTCAGGGATGGTACATCGGTATGTGTCTGCCCCTTTCACTTTAAAAATATCACTGTTCCCGAATAGTCCTATGTAGCGATGCCTCTATTGTAATATACACTTTACTGACCACAATTACAGTTGCCTACTCTCTTGGCATCTACCTCCTGAACCTATTCCTCGCCTTCCTCTCTCCCAAATTCGATCCAGCGCTCGAACAAGATGAAGGCATGGAAGACGGCAACGCCTCGGGGCTTCCCACAAAAGAAGATCAAGAATTCCGCCCATTTGTCCGTAGGCTGCCTGAGTTTAAGTTTTGGTACTCGACCACAAAGGCCATTTCCATCGGCTTCTTCTGCAGCTGGTTCGAGATCTTCAACCTGCCCGTCTTCTGGCCCGTCTTGGTCGTTTACTGGCTGATCCTGTTTGGCCTGACCAGTAAGTTCTACTTACCTACTATTACGTCCCACCGACTAACAGACACAGTGCGACGACAAATCCAGCACATGATCAAATACCGCTACGTCCCCTTCACCGTCGGAAAGGCGCGTTACTCGGGTGCTTCCAACTAAGCCAGCCCCCACCAATCTGCATCCGTCCACCTTTGATTTCATCAGATTGTACAACTTTTGGGAAGGGGTTTCGCCCTTGGGCTGCTTGCATCTAGGACACTGGCGCTTTTCCTTTTCAGGCGCGATAGACTTGGGAAGCCTCGTTTTGGCAAAGACGAGAATTGTTTTGGAATCAGTAGTGGTGTGTTGGCTGATACGATAATGGTTGGACGATATACGATACTGTATGCGTAGTCGAATAGATGGCGCGATGCAGTCGCAAATGTCAAAAACACGATTAATTCAAGGCATTAGATATCTTTGCATTTCAATCTTTGGGAAATGACTTATTGATTCATGGATTTTTGCTGGTGACTCGTGTACAAGCACCATAAACAGAAGTGGTTGGGACGGTGTGAGCGGTATCTACTAACAAGGGTAGCAATAGCGGGGCAACGAAAACGAAGTTGCAGACTACCGCCACTTTACTATACACTTCTGATATCTATCTCAGTTTTCTCGTTCAAGTAGACACAAAGATACTGTTATGCATTCTAGGTCAGGTATCTAACACAAAAGGACAAAAACCCAGAACTCATGCAACAACATCAGACAACCACCCAACAACGCTACGCAAACGCACCAAAAGCATAGACGAAACCGCCATTGCTGGTGAAAAGACCAGTCCTACTCTACACGCATAGCAGGAGCCTCAAGCTCCAACTCAGCCAACGACGCTTTCCTCAGCCCCGTACCCACCTTGATGCCATTCTCCTTGACCAGATCAACTTCCTTTGTGCAAATCCAGGTCGATGCATACATGTTAACCCTGCAGCCATCACGTTAGTATATGTGCAAATAATGGGATATGAAAAGAAAGAGTAGAGAAGAGAAAGCATACCGATCAATACAGGTGCCCGGCAATCGAACCGCCACCCTCTTAACCGTAAACCCACACTCGGCAAAGACCTTGATGTACCATGGCTCCAAGCCCGCACTGCGCAGCATAACGCGGCCCTTGACTTTAAGGGCGCGATTCAGCGCACGGATCTGGCGTAGTGCTTGAGTACCGTTGGGTGGGAACCAGTCCATGCTATCCATTACGACAACAATGGTAAGAGTGCCAGGTCGCATGCGCGAAATCACTTCTGAGATTTCGTCGGTGTGGATGCGCAGACCATTGAAGGCACCGGGCTTGGAGAGCTTGATGTGTGACTTGGGAGAGAGGTAGGTGGGGTGCGAGGTCGGGGTGTAGTGGCCAAGCAGAGTGAGCAAGTAGTAGTGGTTTGAGGTGCTGAGGAGTGTGGTGTTGACTACGGGTTCGAAGGTGTTGAGTACGTATTCATAGATTGCGTTGCCGCTTGAAGACTTGAGTTCCTCGTCTGAAGGTTCTTCGTGGAAGGCCATGTATTTTGCAGCCGCATCTTTGGGTTTGGTTGCTTTGGCCTCGTCGTAGTCTTGTGTCTTTTTGAAGTCGACTTCGATGACGTCGCGTTGGGCAGGAGGAACACCGAGTGCTTTCCACAACCACTTCTCATTGCCGAGGATGGCGTAGGTGAGGATCTTGGAGTGGAGTACCGTCTTGATGCTGCGTTGCCAGATTTCACGCTGCTCGTTGAGGGTTTGCGCCGCACAGAGAGCTTTGACGTCAGCAGTCATTCCTAGGAGACGGAAGAGCCAACCGGCGATTGCGATGGCATTTCCGGAGCCACCAGAGTAGTAGAGACCCTTGGAAGACGAAGTAGAGAAGATGGAAGGGCCGTTTTGGACCCAGAATTGAAACGCATCAGAGGAGAGGTGCGGGCTGAGCTTCTGGATGAGTAGGTTGTGGAAGTCGGGGTGCTTGCCTTCGCCGAAGAGTTTCCAGACATCTTGGTAGCCGAGTGCAGTGAAGGCAGCGACTTTGAGCTCGAGTAGATGATTCTGTGACGGGTTAAGGTCTACAGCATGGACGCGACGGCAGTTCTCTAGGCAGAAAGCAAGAATGTTGTCACCAGCAGATCCAATCGCGAGGACGACATCGTTGGAAATTGGCTTCAGAAGTCGCATATCAGCCACATCATCTTCCCAGGTGAATGCGTAGATGTACGAGTTGTTGAAACGAGTGTGCTTGGGAAGTGATGAGTCGTAGTGAATGCGCCAGTGGTGGTTTTGGTACCATGCTGATGGTAGAGGCAAGCTAGATTGTAGATTGACGACTGCGCATTCGTACGCTTTGGAGTGGACTTCAGCGTCGCTTGGCGCAGCTCCAGTTTGAAGGTCAAGCGCATTGAGGTATGGGGATTCTGTAGCAGCAGCATCAACCTTGGCGAGCTTTTGTGTGGATGCGCCGTGGTCCTTTGAACATCCGATCCAGATGTAGTATGGTAGCTTGATACCAGTGTTGAAGAAGTTGTTTCTGGCGTTCATGCTTAGGATTGTGCCATGTTTGAACTCCAAGTAATCCTGACAAAAGTTAGAAACCGTTGTAAACTTTGAAGAACTCAACTCACTCTTCGAGCAGGGCCAAGTGAAATTCTGTCGATAGCGAACCATTCTCTCCAGAATACTCTCGAGAGCCACATGCAATGACGGTCGATGGCACCACCAATATAGTTCCTGCCCCTAAAGTCCACTTGGCCCTGGACGTAGAAGTCGACGACACCAAAAACGCCGTTAGGGCTCAGAAGGCTGCCCACAGAGTCAATGACGGGATAGAACTCGGGTATCATGCTCAAAGAGTAGCTCATGGTGACAAGCTCGGCTCCTCCAGCATCAGCATTCTCATCAAGGTCGCGAACGGTTTGACCTTGGGAAACCTTCTCTTTGTATTCATACGCTTGTGGCTCATGTTCATGCAGACGGAAAGCACGCGCGTCCTGACAGATGACTTTGACGTTCGTCCACCCAAGGCGGGCGAAGCGCTTGCGTGCCATTTCGCAAAGACTAGGCGAGAGGTCCACGACGTCTACGATAGTTAGTAATTCTCCATTTATGGGACTCGGATAACTCACAAACTGAACGGAAGAAGCTCGTCACTGGGATGAAAGCGTTCATTTGCTCGACACTAGAAGTCTGTTAGTATCATACTGTGGGACTGGCACATCAACGCTTACTTGTAACCAGTTCCTCCACCAATCTGTCACTATTAGTATCAACATCCACTCTAGTTTACGCATCCACCTACATCAACCCAGACAGGGCGTTGTGAAATCAGACCAGCTTCAGCGCGGTGTTTCAGTTGCGCCGCGACCAGTCCCAACATATCCTCGCGACCGCAAAGGAGTCTGGTACGGGTAGCATCGTAGACTTCAGCCTGTGCTTTGTAGAAGCTCTCCTGTTTCTCTTGTTAGTCACACTGAGTATATTTATGTATTCGACGTACAAGGGCGTCTTGCTGGCTTCCAGATCCATCACCAGTGTGCGGCTTTAAGAAGCAGCCATAGATGAACTTCAGGTATGCCTCGATGGTGCTAGGCTCTTGTCCTTTGCTCTTCGGTCTGAGTGCAATGGCAAATACGGCGGCAAGGAAGAGGCCAATGATACAGAGGGTGACCGTGAGCTGATGGAAGGGGTCACGCGGAATGAAGGCTGAGAAATCCAGCATAGTTTCGACGCTGCAACAGAGCAGAAGATCAAAGACCGCAGAAGAGAAGAGAGTATGCGGTCAAACAAAAAGAAACCCCGCCATCGAGGGGTTATATGAGAAGCATTCCGAAGCATCATTCCGACTTCGGTTCGTCACAATGCACCCCCCACATGATTGCAGGCAAGCCACCTACTGTGTAAGGCAATATCCTCCCTGACTTTGAGGCTTTTCAGCCAATGGTGCCCGCCACATGCTTCGAAGGTTCTAAGACGGTACGAGGCAACCTTGCACTGACGTCGGGTGTGATAGTGAACCCCGAGAAGTGCTCCAACCTAATCAACCGCAAGAGGCGGCTATGCAGGGTCTTGGGGGGACCGAGTATTTCTCCAGATCTTCAGGGAAGCCATGGGGAGGCGATAGAATAACCGGCCTATCACGTCGAGCTATCATTGCGCGTGGGTGTAGCGTGCTTGGTGTTGAGGTTGGGTGGTTGAGGTCCGTTGTTGAGACATGAGCCAATCAGAGGGGGCGAGGAAGGGCGTGCCAGAACCACTGATGGAAATGCAGGAACGTGGTCAGCTCTTGAACACATGAGCGAGGCGTAATACCCTCGGCTCTGTTTCCCTTTCTACAAGTCACTCTGTATTATCTAGCCTTTGACGATCCGGGCCATGTCGGCATTTGCAGACTCTGCACAATCGTCAGCAAAGTGCTGATCGGCTCATCACTTACAAAGAGTGCCACCGGTCAGAGAGAAGCATGCAGACTGTACATTGGTATTAGACAGCCGGAAAGAGAGTTGACAGGGAAACGTGTATATGGCCAATACAATGGTGCTACATGGCTGCAAAGTGCTGTTGCAACACGAAAATGGAGTCACAGGTAGCGCGGCGCAAAACAAGTTGTGATGACTAGGCCTGTAATTCGTCGCCTACCCGTTTTCTTGCCGGGGTCACCTTCTGTGCTATTGAAGCTCGAGGGTCAAGTGCCGAGAGGGGCATCTGTAGTCCACAGCAAACTGTTTGGGGTTAGGGGCAAGTGACGGAAGTGGAGGCAACTTCGTTACTGCTATGCTTGGCCATGTGACATGCGCCGCATTGGTAGATACGGCCACCCTAGACTCTTGATCGGTATTGTCTTGGAAATGAACACACAGTGCAATGGATGCCCCTCCTCCATGCTACTGTGTCTCATCTTCACATAGTAAGCATAGCGTATAGTGAAAGATACAACCTTTGCTCATTCATGTTCGTCATTTCGGCAGTGGTACTACGATGAAGGTCTAAGTATTATTACAAGCCGGGTACAAGAACACATGCCTGCAAGCAGCAAAGCCACCGCCATCTGACCGCACTTTATGCGTAGAAGTTGACCGTGTCCTTCTTCTTCGCCTGCACTTCAGCAATAGCATCCACGTAGTGCTCGTGGCTGATCTTCTGGTGACCAGTTCGGAGAGCAATCATACCAGCTTCGACGCATACGGCCTTCAGCTGAGCTCCACCAAACTCATCAGTACTGCGTGCCAACTCTTGCCAGTTGACACCGTCGTCGACGGTCATTTTCCTTGAGTGAATGCGCATGATCTGTGCGCGAGCCTCCTCATTTGGCAGCGGGAACTCGATCTTCCTGTCCAGACGGCCAGAACGGAGCAGGGCGGGATCCAAGACATCGACTCGGTTGGTGGCGGCCAAGACCTTCACGCGGTCATCCGAGGCAAAACCATCCAGCTGGTTCAGAAGCTCCAACATCGTTCGTTGCACTTCTCTGTCTCCGGACTTTTCGGAATCGAAACGCTTTGTGCCGACAGCGTCCAACTCATCAATGAAAATAATTGAGGGCGCCTTTTCTTTCGCTAAAGCAAAGCAGTCGCGGACCAGTTTAGCGCCATCACCTATGAACATTTGTACGAGTTGCGGACCAGCAAGTTTGAGGAAAGTAGCATCAGTTTGCGCAGCGCACGCTCGTGCAAGAAGCGTCTTTCCAGTACCCGGAGGGCCGTACATCAATGCACCTATGCCTTGTTAGCCATTGTCCTTGGGCACTCAAGCATTATGCTGCTTACCTTTGGGAGCCTTGATGCCGATCTTCTTGAATCGCTCCGCCTCCTTCATTGGCCAGACCACCGCCTCTACGAGCTCCTCAATTTGCTTGTCCAAGCCTCCGACATCAGTGTACTTTTCCGTTGGCTTCTCGTCGACTTCCATGGCTTTGACTCGGCTGTCGTACTCTGCCGGTAGTGTGTCTAGAACAAGGTAAGAGTCCTTGTTCACACCAATCAAGTCTCCGGGTTTGAGCTTCTCATGGTCGACAAGGCCAATGAGGGGCAGGAATATTGTCTGTCGCGTAGATGTCTTGATGACGGCCGACTTGCCAACACGGGTGGCGTCTAGGTCGATGTTTGCACCTTCCTCGGCGGCCTCCGCTGTGACATCGAGATCGAGGATTTCGACGACGTTTCCCACGAGATAGGGTAGTTGCCTGTAGAATGTCAACATATCGCCCTGAAAATGGCGGCTGGTAAACACGCTGCGGGGCCGATCGCCGGCACCGAGATGGCGTACCTGTTGTTCTCAATCTTGTCTAGGTTGTCCTTGATCTTCTCGTTCATCGATGCCTTCTCGTGTGTGAGCCGCTGGAACTCGCTCTTCATGATACGCATGTCGTTCTCCAGTAACCGCCTCCGCGCAATGATGTCTCGTGTACTTGAGTTCAGGATCTCCTCGTCAAGCTGCTCCTCCTCTGGCTCCGCATCCTTCATGTCCGCATCGCCGTCAGCCTTCTTTCCATCCTTGCCGCCGTCTTTCTTGTCATCGTCCTTTCTCTCTTCCTTCTCGTGGCGCTCAAGATCATCGAGATCCTCAAGTGTGGACATGGTAGCGGTCTATTGTAAGTGATTGTATGTGAAAACTAGTCAACCAAGATAAGCGGTCTTATATCTCAGTGATCGTGAGTAAAACCCGCAGGTGAGAGGTTGAAGATAGTGCAGCGTTGATGGGGCTCTGTTTGTGAGGCAGCTATGGATTACGAAGGTGAGAGCTCCCGCGATTACTTAGCTCCGCTCCGACTCTTGGCGTCGCCGCACCGAGACGCCGATCAGTCGCGTTCAACACCAACGTAGTGGGAACAACCATCAAGCCGTCACTGACACTTTTCACAACAGGTAAGATCGATTCCGCTCTAGTCAGTGTGCATTCTTACTTTGTTGAAGGGTTTAGATTTCTATACTAGCTTTCGTCTTGGTATGATGACTATACGCAGGTACGGTCTGCTAAGCTTCTGCCGTCCAAGATTATGGATATGATTCTTGGAATTCAATGGATCAATGCATACAACTAAGAAAACTGAAAACAACTTCTCTTGTCCCAGCCGTTAAGACTTGCAGTTCCGTATTGAAGTCAATGAACTGGTGTATGCCCTCGGTTACCTTTCCTAGAAATTGCGCCTCAGTGAACGCAGCAATCACTCTCTTTGGGTGATCCCTTTACTTTCATTCACTCACCATGGCACTAAGAAATCAAGTGGTGCCTATGCTAACAGATTCGAGTAGCACAGGGCTGGCAACATCATTCCACTGTTACTAGAAATGATTTCTAACTGTCAAAACAACTTCTTTCCTGTAAACTCATGTCGCCCAACCCCCCACTCATGCTTCTCAGTCGTCTAGCTTATCGCATACCCCCGGTTTCCACGTATAGGTATCAGAATGGCATTCACCATCTTGGATAAATCAGGTCGTGTATACGTTCAGCGCGAGTTGCTCCAGGAGTGCAAAGATCCTAGACTCAATATCTCCAAAGCCGAGTATGTCATAAAACCTCACCTCTAGAATTTCTCTTAACAGAAGTCATTTTAGATCTTATGGTCAGTATTTTCATGCGCGTAGCCAAACCATTCTACGACCTGTCACTACGCCTTGCAGCTGATTTCCCCGAGTCTCGTCGGCTTCACATGCATATTGACTCCAGCGAGGAAGAGAGCGTCCTAATATATCCTTTCTATCAACACACCCTGCTTGGAATGCTCCAACAGGATCCAGAAATCTCGGGTGCAGCAAAGAAGAAAGTGCTGCAGGAGACAGGAGACGCCATGCAAGAGCTGCATAGCAAGGACTGGATCCATCGCGGTACGATCACCAGTTCAAATCAATCTACCACCACGGAATCCCAACTGACAATCGATCTCGGCAGACATCAAGCCCGATAATATACTGGTCAACTGAGCTTGCGACGAAGAGGGTACTAAGACAATCACCGACGTCGCTTTAGGCGACTTTGGCCTCGCTTTTAGGTTCAAAACGGGAGCGCTACTTTCCAACACTCGTGCAGTAGGAAACGCCATGTGGCGTAGTCTAGAAGGGCAGGCTGGGAGAGGTTTGTCTAAGGTATCAGGCATTTACTTATTCGGACTGATTGTGAGTTGCTTCCCGCCGTTTTCGTGGCTATCATTGAAGAAACTCGTGCTAACTGTTCGTACAGTGCATATATACCCTCGGGGGTAGGGAACCGCTACTCATCAACGATTATCCGGAGCTCGCCAAGCTCGGTGTAAGCCCCCAGCAAGCAGTATTGACGCGACACTTCTCGTGTTTTGGACCAGCGAACGAGGGCCTGCTCAACGTCATCGATAGCGAGAAGTGGAAAAAAGCTCTTAGAATATTGTCTGAAATGACTTATTTAGTCATGCAAGACCAACAAGACATGAGCTTCGAGGTGTGGGGGCATGCATTCGGTTCTGGGGCACATAAGATGATATCTGGAATGACAAAAATTGATCCAAGGGCTAGGCCAACGATAAATCAGATTATGGAGCATCTGTGGTGGAAGGAGGCCATTTGATGAACAGCTGAGGTGGCGGGGAGGCTTCATGCATGTGTCATTTGAGAGCGGGTAATATTATGACTACAGCCTATAAGCGATTGCTGTGAGACGACAGCTCAGCTCCATTGCGCCACGCGGCCCAAAAAGGTACAGTATAATGCATGAGCAGTATCTGGAACTGAACGCTATCTACATATGACAGATTAGCAGCTGATTGAACTACTGCTACCTAATATCACCTCTCTTCCAACAACCTTTTCTCCTAGCCTTGCTTTGGAGCAGCTACTTGATCTCTGGAAGTCTAACGCGGTGCCGTCTCTTGCACAAAGTATCCACGGCAAAGTCTGTGCATGATGGCGCCGCTCAGGCTTCTCGCCCTAGGAACGCACCTTTCATGTCGCTAATGTCTTTGCAGCCTTGCTGACAACGCTATACAGATGGAGGGGGGTGCGCAGCCTCGTTATCCTTCTCATGCTTAAGAGGCTCATGTACTTGATCAACCCTCAGCATCCACCGAAGCCTTGCGATGTTTTCGATATGATCGTCGGAACAAGCACTGGTGGTCTTATTGCTATTATGCTTGGGAGGCTGGTATGTGGAACCTAAATCATTTCAATCGCATTTCTAATTACATTTTATATATATAGGAAATGGATGTAGAAGCAGCAATAAACGCATACAAACGGCTCTCGAGACGCGTGTTCACTCCAAAGAAACGAACACATATCGGAGGCGCATTTATTCACAAAGTACTGGGATCAGAGACTTTTGACTATAAAGTTTTGGAGAAAGTCATTAAAGAAATAGTCTCAGAACATCTGGGCTCGGATACGGCTAGTGGAAATGTGAAGCTGTATCAAGACAGGCCAAAATGTCCGATGTGGGTAGGCTCTAATCAAACGAGATCACAGAAGCATGCTGACTTATTCTACCTCTCCAGTTTCGTATGTGCCACGACGGTCAATGGCGACATACAGCGCTTACGGAGCTATCCATCCACGACCGAGGAACCATTTAACTGTACAATCTGGGAGGCTGCCAGAGCTACGTCTGCTGCTCCAACTTTCTTCGCGCCAATCAAATTCCCGAATGGGATGAAGTTTCGCGATGGTGGGCTCGTTGCGAACAAGCCAATATTTGAGCTCATTAACGAAGTCCGGAAGAAATATCCCACCAGAGACATATCTGCAATCGTCAGCTTAGGAACAGGTGTATCATCGTCCATGAAACTTGGTCGGGGATTGGTTTCGGTTGCGAAACCATGCTCGAAAATAGCAATGAATACGGAGAAAATGGCAGATTCTTTTGCGACACAGTACTCCATCAACAGGGTATATATCGCCAGAAATACTTCCGCTTCAATCCGACCAATGGTCTCCAGGGAGTGGGTTTAGATGAGTGGGAAAAAGAGGATGAGATGATGGCAAACACACTCACATACCTCGGAACGACGGCTCAGGAAGATATGTTGGAGAGATGCAAAACAAGCCTTTTAGAAGAGAACGTTAGGTAGGCTTTCAATTACATGGTTCTGACAGCCTGTACAAAAAGAGTCTGACACCGAGTTAGCCTTGACATACCTCAAGCTCTTGTAAACAATGACCAACGCATGATTCACGTAGTGCGACGTAGATCATCATCCAACGCAGGTTATGGGTTTTACCAACCTGAACGTATTCGAAAGCATCCGGTTAGTTTCTTCGCACCCAGAGGAGATATGTTGATGACCGAGAATGCTCTTGGATCCACATTTTCAAGCTCGCTCAGACCGAAAATCATATCCATCGTTGGATATGGCGGCTCCGGAAAAACACAATTGATGTTGCAGTACGCCTGGACGCATCGAGACATATATGGAGTTGTCCTTTGGGTTGATGCACAATCACTGGACTCCTTGAATGACACGTTCTCCCTTGCTGCAGAGCAGCTCGGTCTTGTCCTACCTCGTACTTGGGTATCAGACTCCGGGACTACAAATACTGTTACCCGATTCATTCCAAGCCTTCAAAGGAACGTTAATGCAATTCAGAGGGAGCTGAAGAGAAGGAATCAAAAATGGCTCATTCTGATAGATCGTGCTGATGAGCTCCACATGATTGACCAATTGCCGAAGTATTTCCCTTCTGCTCCAGGTGGAGCCATAATTGTTTCTTCCAGACGACAAGAGGCAGAGAGACTTGGTGGCCATGCAATAAAACTGAAAGGTCTTCCCTTGAATAGCGCTCAGCAGCTTTTGATCCACCATGTTTTCGGCATATCCGCAGACTTGGTCCAGGGAGAGCAGCTTGAGCAAGCAAGACTTGTGGTGGAGACATTGGATTGCATTCCTTTGGCGATTGATCTCGCTGGCACGTAAGTCTTCAGTCCCGGAACAGTCTTTCTATACTTACAACCTTTCAACATAGATACATCAAGCACAACCTTGGAGGACGAATAGACACCTACTTGAACCTGTACAAATCGCAAAAGCATGAGTTGGTCGAACGCGCTCTCGGGCGAAACCATCCAATTGCTCATGACTATCCCGCCTCTGTCCTCGCGACTTGGAGGGTTTCAATCAACGCGATTGCCAAAGAATATCCGGGGGCAGCAAAGTTCCTTTACCTTCTGTGTTTCCTCGATCCTTCAAATCTGCGAGAAGACCTGTCCAAGAGGGCTTGTTCTCCCAAGCTCTATCTGAATCGTGAAGGCTCAATCGATGTACTTTACCCGTGGATGAATCGCGTCCCTGACTGGCTCCTGCGGCTCTTCTGTGGCCCATATGGCCACTGGAATGACTTGCAGTTTTTCGATACCATTGAGATCATATCAGCTTTGTTCTTCGTTGAGTGCAAGGATCTCAATGGCACTTGGGCTCACCCTTCTGGAGAAGTGGAAGGTACAACTTTAACCTCGGACGAAAGCCCCGTTACCTTACTCGAATTACCACAACCGCTTCACCACTTGGGAAGATCCTTTCACGACGATAAATTAAGAGAAGAATTTATTCATGATGCATTCTCTGTGGCGAGACACAGCTTTCAGAACGATATTGAGCGTGACGGAAATTTTTCAAACATTGGGCGGATCCCTATGATGTATATTGGACTTGGAGGAGCTATAGATAACCGCAAAACGATGGAAAGACAGCTCGATGAGGTCTATGAGCATTTCAGAGCTCTCTACTCCAAGTCGGATAATTCTTGGACCATTTTCAACTATGCGATCCCTATTCGGCAACGTTGCGAGGCTATAATGTTTGCGAGTATATTCTGGTCACGGCTTTTCTCTCAATCCTGCATCGCAGCATCATCCGAGCCGGTCCAGTGGAAGATGCCAAGCTGGGGAATAATCCTGACGATCGCAGAGTCAGTATTGCTGAAAACTGGGCGAACAACTGAAAGAACTCCACGTTCAAGTCCAATTTCTAGTATACATACAGATCCACTTGCGAGCCCGCTTCTAAGTCGGGATCCAAGTCCAAGTCAACGTACTGCTCGACGTACAGGTCGACGTCCACCTCGACGTCCACCTCAACGTACAGGTCCACTTCCGCAGGGAGACGGGTACTCTGATCTTGACAACAGTGATGGGAACTATACTATAGACGAAAACACTGATCCCTACGACAGTGAAGTGAAAGATTCTATAAGCGAGTACCATTGTCCTGATGGCGATTATGAGTTTCGTATTGAATGGAATAGGAGGCGTCTCTTGGGTCACGACAAGCTATCTGTCTTAGAGATCAAAGAGCTTCAAAGCTCTATAGAGATTTCAAAACGCCAATCGTCCTTGAAGAATGAAGGGCTTGTCATTCCACCTCAACACTATGGGCTCGGACTCCCGGAAGTACACATGGTGGCAACAATGGCCGAAACAAGGTGGGCTAGGGAGGGACGCAGACCCAATGACAAGAGATGGAAGGAAGTCTCGGATAGCATTAAGAGACAACTTCGCGAAAGAAGGGTAGGCGAACTAGCGTTTCAACAATGGCTTGGAAGCCAGGTGGGTAAATCTTTCCGCCAAAGGATGGAAGCTCCTGCCAACATGGACCGGCCTTTACAGTGAAACGTGTGTGAAGTGTCCAACGGGTACGAAGAAGCCACTAGGAAAACCAGGGTAGAGAACTAGATAAGCAGACATATTAAACTCTACCATATTGCTAGCATTGCTAGCTAATAGATAACCGCTTGACCATCTCGGGTTACGGCTAATAGCAGCTGCGAGATGTGAGGACCTACTATATCCTCTCATTTCCAGAGAGTGCCTATGAGGTAGCTGAGGCGTTTATATATATTCTGATGTACTGCATTACTCTGTGTCCACTACTCTCCGTCTATATACCAGCAAATCGGAGCCTGAGGTGAAAACAGCCCCCTACCAAACTAGTGCAGCATCATTAAGATGCATTTGACAGCCTCATCGCAAACAATGCAATCAATGGCTGCATCAAGTAAATGAACACTTAGGGCTGTAAAACAATATATCGGAACTAGTTTTGAGTGCGTTGTGCTGTGGGTGGCTCAGTGTGGGTAGCTCGTTGTGAGCAGCGGCTTTGTTATGGTGGGGCCTTGGCGGAACTTTGCTGTTTCTCGACACAAGTATGAAATAAACTTATTTTCAACATATTATTTTTTTTTTAATTACTCTGGTACATACGACCAGAGGAAACTGAGAATTAGGCATCCCGTCCGATCTGCCCTATACAAGCAGTTTACCGGCGGATTAGTAGTTAGGTGGGTGACCACTAGCGAATCCCCGCTGTCGTATGTTTTTGCTTTCTATTTTGTTTCTTTTTGCCTACGTCACGTGCTAGGTCTTGGTATCAGCATAAAATGGTAGTGAGACTTGTAGAACGTAAATGGCTATCTGTCACGATGGGTCTTTGTTAATGTCTAACGCTCGACGATGTATTACATATTGTTGAGCATTCAAGAGTTCCGGGATAGAATGTCGCTTCGGCGCTGTACAAGGTATTTTGTATCACTGTTGCGAACTGTCTTCACATTATATCCTGCAGAACAATATAACTTGTACACTCGAAATCTATGCATTCCAAAAATCTTTAATGATTTTAGCTTATGCTATGGTGATTTGATACTTTCTGTTGACTACCGTTACTGTGCCACCCGATAAGAGGGCAATCTTCCGGCTGTTCAGTACATTTATCGCTGCACATGCCGCTTCCGAATAAATACAAATTGCTCTAGTGAGTAGAGCAAAAACCTTTCGAATTAGAAGAGCATATTTGTGTTGTTGTTACTATGTACTCATAAAACTACAGTGGTCGATTGGTGGCTTCCTTGGCCGCACTCCTTCCAGTTCTGCTCGCGAGCTAACCGGCCCACTTTATAGATACTATGCGACATGTCATACAGTAAAGGCTGAGAATCCTGCATCTACGATGGTCTTTAGCATGCTAGAAAAAGAATGCAAGCGCAAAGAGAGTATAAGTAAATCTTAACAACTAAACTCTTAAGCTTAGCTCATAAAGACTGAGAACTAGAGAATAAGACAAAACACATCCTAGATATATTTTCGACTACCTGTAGAGCTGATGAAATTTTCCCGTGCATAGTGCTATTTTAGGTCGCCCATGCCAAGGCGCTTTGTACGCAGTGAAGGGTGTTTGGTGAATGGGACCGCTCCTACCGTCTTGTATTGGGCGTTTGTTTACACCGTAACGCCACTGTTCCATTCATCGAACAGCTGCTCCATTCCTTCCAAATTTACACCTCAACTACACAATATCATCGACGACATCTGGACAGAGGCAAGTTTTTCTTCTCAATATATGCATCGCACCCTGCTGCAGCCATGCTAACATATCCAGATAGACAGAGATTTGAACAAATACGAGCTTTGTGGGAAACGGCGCGATCGGATGAAGAAAATACAGCAGATATGGTAAGCTGGAGGGACAAACCAGCGCAGCAGCAGCCGGTGAGCGCGAACCTGAATGAGAACGGCGCCCGCAAATTTCGGAGAAAGCTCAGTTACGGCCTCTCTCTCATATCAAATCCTCTCTCCCAACGAAAGATCACCCCAGGACGCAATCAAGTTGAGACCAATTCATTGGCTGTCACTGAGCCCCCCACAACTGACGCCATCACTGCGGCCTCTGCATGCGATTCCCCGGCTTTAATAGCGCGCGAATCGACGTCTCTCATAAACTTCAACGACTTGACAAAAGGTCTAGTACGACAAGAGGATGCTGATATTACCCCCAAGCCACTTCCTCGCTCGCGCACGTTGGGCTTCATCCCACTCTCCATCAGCACCGAGCCTTATACACTAGCGACAGATATCGACGAATCCGTCAAGCTTTGCTCTTCGGCAGTGATTCCTATATCCGAGATAGATCCAGTGCCTTCAAAGATTCCCTCACCAAGTCCTCCGTTGTTCGAACATCGTTGCGCTAGTCCACGCCGATATCTTCACCATCACACATCCTTCAGTGCACCACAACAAACCAAATACATTGCTGCAGCTCAAACCTTCGTCAGCACCAATAAAATTTCACCTGCAAGAATTTCACAGCCATTACGGTCACGCACAACACCAAACCTTGTGAAGGTATCGAACGCACGACAGACTGCAGGGTTTATGGCCCCTAGGCAACCAGGACCTAAGAGACCCAATGTATCCGAAAGACCCGAGAAGCCAGTATTACAGGAAAACATCCCTATCGAAAAACGCATTAACAACGGGCAGTCTCAAATACAAGAGAGTATGCTGAAGCGTGAATCTCTTGCAGTTGCGGGAGCACTATACGACAGGAGGTCTTTTGAACCAAGCACTCTAATTATGCAGGGCAGAAGAACAAGCTTCGTAACTCCACCAACTGCAAGCAAACAAAAGAGCTCCCATCTTACTCAAAACACTCCAGCCACTGCAAAGAGAATTCAGCGTGAGGAGCTGACTGCACTGTCGCCACCAAGCCGCCTTACTATGAAGCCTGACCTAGCCTTAATGCCTTCATTTCCAGACACCTCGATAAAGAAAACCTCACACAGGGTACTTTCCCCAAAGCCAGCATTGATACGCTCCTATACGCAAGCAGATTTGTCGAGGAAAACACTAGGTACACCGAATGGCTTGGGTAGCGTTTGGCGGCCGTCTCGTGCGCTTGCTGTGGTAAATCACGAGGTGAGCAAACTTCCGCGCTCCAATACCGTCCATTATTTTGGACCTCAGCCGGAAGCTGCTCTGCCAGTACCTCCTCTGCCACTACACCACAGAAAGTTATCCCTTTCAGAGTTAATGCAGCATTTACGTATGAGTCAAGATACGCCCGCCATGCCTCGCCACGGAAGAATAGTATCTGATACTATCTCATGTCAGTCCATACCAGAAGAGAGCGGTGAAGAGGTGTCAAGTCACGGTTGCGCAAGCATGCCACTTGAGGCTACAAGAGCCTCTTCTCCTTCAGAGACGCCCAGTTCATCAACTTTCAGTCTTACGATATTTCCCTCGTTACCAGATACACTTCAGCCTTCAGCCTTGGGAACACCACCTGTATTAGGCACAACAACGACATCGTCACACGAAGTTTCACGCGAGACTTTAGGAGATGTTCGGGAGAAAGAGACGCCAGAAGATGCTGACAATAGTGTTTTCCAGGTTAAAGATTACATGCCACCGCTGTATTGGGCTGGAAGATTTCAGTCTCGGTATGACCAGTGGCGTACTGACGCTATGAATGCGGAGTTGAATACTCAGCCGGGCCAGCGAGGAGAGGACCCGTTGAGCGAATACAGACTTGACCAAGGAAACCTTGCGGTATGCCATATCTTCGCGCAGCTGCGTGCTCTATGTGCTACCGATCAAGCAGCAGATAGTCTTTGGGTGCGTGTCGTCTCTCTTTTCTTCAGCTATCTACTGACGGGCTGATTATAGGAGTTTGAGTACAAGTATCGAAAAGATCACAGGCTGCTTGGCAATCCAGCCGAACCCCCAAGAAGAGCCCCGCCTAAGCAAAGCGATAGCGAAACTGTTCCAGAAACCGGAGCTGGTACTATTGAACGAGCTTTAAGAAAATTGACCCCCCGCAAGAGCAGCCTTGTCAATCTCATGAAGGGAAAAGGATGGAACAAATCGGATGAGATGAAGGACAATGATACGCTGGAGGAAGATCAGGAGAAATCTTCAGGGAAGCCTTAGATCTCTGTATATGCCGACGAGCATATCGAGACTGAAATGGACTCTTGACTTTCAATAATTGAATGAGCCATTCATTGAGAAACAGTATCTACACAGAGTTACAGTGGGCAAGGCGGTGTGACGCAGTCAAGAGTATTGAAAATATTGCTTGTTGAATTCTGCAGTGAGGCCGCAGTGCAACTTTAGGGGACGGTGAGCCCGGAACTCAATGAATACGTAGGAAGGGCATATCAATAACGTATCGCCAGACGAAATGTAATCTTAATAAATCGCAGGAATTCTGCGATGACTATTCCTTCTTCTCACTCGACTTGGGTGATAGCTCTTCAACAATATTGTTTGGATCCTTCCACGCCAGGGCAACATACTTGGTATGGCTTCCTCGAGCAAATATCTCTCCTTTGCTGTTGCTGAAGTTGATTGATGTAAAGGCCAATGTTTTGCCGACTTTATCTCTATTAGTAAGAAGGGTTTGATGGTCACCCGAGATATAGATACATACACTTGTCGCATGATACTTCGGCTTTAATCAAATCTCCGACCTTGCCGCCCGATGAGAGGTAAGTCACATTCAGGTCAGTGGAGACGCCGGTTGCGAAGAGGCCGCGAGATGCTACGGCTAGAGAGCCGCCGAGATCGACTGCAAGGTATCAGAATTAAACGAGTTTGAGCTGGAACTGCTTAAAAGTACCCATGCTGGCGATTGTTCCTCCATGGAGAATGCTCAATCGGTTCTGGGAGGTGCAGATTAGCAGATGATACAACATGAAATTCTAGTATGACAGCAAACAAAAGCAAGTGATAAGCTTCGGTAGTACCGTGAATGAGATTATTGTGAGATGCAAAGAGAGAATACTCACTGTGTGCTCCTTCTTTATGTCCAGCTCAAACTTGACGCGTCCCGGGACTGCTGACGTCACGCGAAGCTGATGAACCAATTGGTAATGAGCCTTGTTCATTCAGTCAAGTAGAACCCCAGAGTAGACTTACGCCGTTCAGAAGTCTTTGAAATAGTTAAGTCAATGCTGTCGGTATACTGTCTAATCGTGGGGGTGTACCTTGGCTCCAGACCCGAGTTGGCTCGGAATGATTCCCAAACCTATTGTATTGGTCAATGGTCATGATTTTAGCATTTCCCATTGTCTATATTACTCACAGATCGTACAAACTTCAGCGCCGTCATAGTCACGGTCTCGTTTCTCGGTATGCGAAGAGTGATGTAGTTGGGTCCCGCTCGGCAGTTGGCTAGGTATCTCGGAAGCTAGACAGGGGTGGAGCGGAATTGTGGGGGAGCATCTTTCCGCTCACTGGGCGCGCGCGTCACCTTACTTTCTTTGAACGACCAGCGGCTTTCGACTTTTGACTCAAATAGGCTGCAGCCGGCGCAACGCACGCGTCTTGCCCGCCTCTCTCCCTCCTGTTCATTGCAGTATCCGAATATGATAATACGGCGGTAAAACAACGTTAATTCTTCACCACATCCACCAAGATGTCGGCCTCGTCTTCTGCTCAGGCGCTGGAATACCTTGAGGGTCTCCCGCTGGCCACACACAAGAAGCTGTATGAGCAGCCTTCAACAGTTCTGGCGGTATTCCGCTGCATGTTACCGCATCTTGGTAAGTAAAAGCAAATCAGATAAAGCTTGCAGAGCTAACAAGAGCATCAGCCAAGTCAATAGTCATGGCTATGCTCTACATGCCCACTCCCTTCCCCGCTGCCGATCTCGATACCTGGTTCAAACCCACTGCGCGCAAAGAGAAAGAGCGGGCAACCTTTACCCTCGATCGTCTGCATATCATTACCTCGGCGCGACAGGACAACGGCACTCTATCGTGGACGCTCAATCCAGGCTTCCAACGCAGCCTCCGAAACGCCATCGAGGGCTCTGGCACCCATCGCTCTTTTGGAGTACCGGCGACAAAAGAAGAGAGTGGAAAGCGCGTCAGTATTGAATTCTTGGACGAGTATTCGAGGTCACAATGGGAGGGCATATTGTACTACCTTGTAAGCGGTGCGGCTGGTCTTAGCAAAGACAGCATCTCTAGAGCAGAGGTTGGTCCTGGCACCAAGAAGCTATTACATACTGGCGATCTAGTGCGCACGATACATGGTAGTCCAAGAATCACAAAAGATGGCTTCTCTTTCGTGCTACAAGAGACGAATGCGCAGGTTTGGAGTCTGCTGATTGTCTATTTGAAGATGACGAACGAGGTATGCATGGAAATATAGATCTTGTGTGACATTGTTTAACACTATTACAGCTCGGGATGTCTGAAACCGAAGTTCTCTCATTCCTTTTCATGCTTGGCTCTCTTGAATTGGGCCAAGATTACTCGACTTCCACCCTCTCGGCGACCCAACTCCAAATGCTCGAGGACCTCTCTGCAATGGGTCTTGTATATCGCTCTGAAAGGAATGCGCGAACCTTTTACCCCACTCGGTTAGCTACAACGCTCACATCAGACTCTGGTAGTGCCATGTCAGCCTCCTCCAAGGATATTGCACAAGCAAGCACAAGCACCACTGGACCTCCAACCGCAGCAAACAAGGGCTTCATAATCATCGAGACCAACTACCGACTCTACGCCTACACTAACAGTCTGATCCAAATCGCCATTCTCTCTCTCTTCACTAAACTCCAACATCGCTTCCCCAACCTCGTCTCGGGAAAACTAACAAAGGAGTCCGTGCACAAAGCCGTCCAGGCAGGCATTACCTCAGCACAAATTATTTCCTACCTAACCACCTATGCCCACCCGCAGATGCAAAAAACTGTCCCCTACATCCCGCCAACTGTCATGGATCAAATCCGTCTCTGGGAATACGAAGGCGAGCGCGTGGAAACGACAACGGGCTACTTGATGCGCGAGTTTGGTTCGGATGCAGAATATAGAGACGTTTTGAACTATGCTAGTGCGCTGGGAGTGCTGGTCTGGCAGAATGATGCTAACAGGTGCTTTTTTGTCAGCCATGTCGAACAGATCAGTGCGTATTTGAGGAAGAAGAAGGAGAACAGAGAGAATGCTAGGGGCCGATAAGGGAATGAAAAAATATATACGGCGTTGTATCGTTGGCTTTCTGTATAGATGATCTCGTTGACATCAAGGCGTTCTCTTATGGGCGGTTGGGGAAAACAAGTGGCTATTAGCACCAATGATAGACAACATTGAATTTATGATCTTGGTATCTCTCTTTTCAAACTTTCCGGATTTCACATCTATAGTCCCTTCTGATAAAATATGAGGAAAAAGAAGATCGCAATGAAAAAATTAACACATTATTACGCCATACAGATGCAAAGAACACATCGGTTCTCCAAGTTCGTACGTTTTCTTGTCAATTGAGGGGAAAAAAAAGGGAAAAACACAAAGAATCATCTCGACCCCGCAAAATGCAACGCGATAAAACTACACCTCTCCCCTCATGGATAAAATCTTACTATTCCTCCTCATCTTCGCCCCCGAAATCCTCCGCAACTTCTGTAGGAATAAGCACGTTCTCCGGCCTATCATCGTCTTCCTCGTCATCCACCGGATGGCTTGCGCCATTCACGCCCGCCTCACCCATCTGCACCTCCGGCGCCGTACTCGGCATAACGCCGCCATTTGCCTTGATAGCTTCGACCTTTGCTTTCGTCATTTCATACACGTACTTACCCAGGTGCTCTACATCCTGCATCTGGGCTTCACCAGGGATGGTAGTAGCTGCCGAGTCGACGGGACGCTGCGTCTCGCCGAACATCTCGTCGGTGACGAGTTCGAGTTTGTCAGGGCGCTGGAGGAGGATGTCGAAGGCGGGTTTGAGCTCGAAGACGGATTCGAAGACGGAGCGGCGGCCGAGGATGTAGAGGCCTAGGCGTGCGCGGGAGAGCGCGACAGTGAGACGTCGGATGGAGCGGAGGTAGCCTATTGAGCGGGTGCGGACAAGGGAGAGGATGATGTCTGTTTCGAAGAGCACATCTTAGTAATGCTCCTGATAAGTTTAGAGAAAAGAGGAGTAAGAACTTACAGTCATTTTGCTCGCCCTGGTATTTGTCCACCGTAGCTACTATCCTTGGGCGCCCGAACAGTGGGTTGTTCTTACACTTGTGGCCAAGGACATCGTTGATCAAGCTCTTCTGGCCAGCATATGTGGTGAGAATCGATATCTTGTTTGCGGGGTACCCAAGCAGTCGCATGTACATGTACAAAGCGACCGCATACTCGGCTTCGCCCAAGTTGATCATCCAGTGCGGTGTGGGCTGTTCTTCTCCTTTACCCTTGTAGTCTTGCACATCGATGAATTGGTACTCGTGCTTGAAGCCTGGGTTCGCGATTTGGAACTCAGGATTGGAGATGACAGAAGGCAGATTAGAGAGCGAAGGATAACGCCATTTGTAGAGCTCAGCGATGGATGCACGGGCACGACCTTGCTGGTCGAGCATGATGGTTGGTACGCCCAAGCGGACAAGCCGTTGGAAAAGCGACTGTTCCAGGTTGGCGTATTGACGAAATGCAAGATTTTGAATGACGGGAGAGTTTTGGAGATGATCACCACAGAGGACTATACGTTGCAATGGAAGTTCACCATTCTGTGGGTTTTGCAATGCGAGTGGGATGAAGTTCTCAATCTCAGTGATTTGAGCAGCTTCTTCCATGATGACATTGTCATAGTGGAACCCTAGCGATGCGATTTCTTGTCTTCGCATAGCAGCGTGTGTCGATGTCATTGCGATGATGCGGGCTTCCTTGACGAGCAGGTAGTTCGCCTTGTCTCGTGGATTGCGCAGGAGCTCAAACGGACGAATGTCCTCGAGCTCTGCAAAGATCTTCTGGACATGGCGATAGCAGCCCTGTGCAATATCAAGGATCTGTTGACGGTCTACTGCAGGAGGGAAGAGAGGTTGTGGTGCATTTGAGAAGTAATCTTTGAATGGGAACTCAGTGATTATCTGCTCAACACTCGTCTCTCCCGATGTGACACTATCCCAGTACTGCGTCCACGCTGGTTTCACATAGACAAGATTGAAGTAATCTGCAGTCTCGCATGAGCTACCATGGGCACCCGGTGCACCAAAGTTTTTAGCGAGACGGTCAACTTCGGATAGATAGTACTGTCCTCTCTCAAGGAACGACTCCACTCGTCCGTGCTTGCTGTAGCTTGCATCCGTCTCGAGGTCCTCTTCACCATGACCCAACCGCAATAGGTGACGCTCGTCAATATCAAGCGCCACAATCTTCTGGAACAGCTGATTAAGCGCCTGGTTGCTGTGCGCAACAAGCAAGGTCCGCTGATCCGGGAAGTTGTGATATAGATTGGATATAATTTGGGTCGCGACATCCGTCTTGCCGGTGCCTGGTGGTCCGAGCACCACTGTTAGTCCCGGCTGAGTTCCCGAAGTGATAGCATCAACTTGGGCAGGTGTAAATCGGACTTTGTTCAGCTTTGGCGCATCTGCAGGATATGGACCCATGTTTGGTGGCTTGTACGAGGATACGCGAACCGATTCCTGCACAGGTTGTGCAACCTCAGCCTGGTCCCGACGCCGCTTTTTTGACGCTCGTGGTGGTGCAACCTCTGGTTCCGCTGCAATAGGGAACTCTAAAAGGTATGGAGGCTCGACGGGTGCATGCGCTTCCTCGTTGGGTTCAACAGTTTTGCCGGGAAATGACTGAACCAGGTGCTCCCAATTCAAAAGGGTATCGCGGAAGTCTATTTTATTTAGCCGATTAGGGAGTCGCTTGTAGGTTGCAGATGCAGGATCCCCGTAGCCCAAAAAGACCTCCTGTAGCCAGGATGGCGCTGGGATGTCCGAGAGAGTCAGGCGCTTGATGGACTCTAGGATCGGCAAGAAGTTGTTTTCACGTCCTTTTCGGCGAACAATAAGATTGATTTGCTCGTAGACGTTGGGCGCTCCTTTGGCGGTTTGTTCCATATCAGCATGGTACTGCTTCGCGTCGATGTTGACAAGGAGCCGTCGTTGCCGTACCCTTGGTCCAAAGCCATCATCACGGGCTTGTTCTCTTAGTGGTCGTCCCTTGTCGTCCAGAACTTGAACCACCTGGGCACATCTCATCCGACGCAGACCAATCTCTTCCCCACTGCTGACATCCCCATGGTGACCGTTTCGCATGGGTACGTCGTCTTTTCCCTCAACGGCAAGGAGAAAGACTACATCATCTGGCCGGAGCTGTTCCCAGTCCCGCCGTACTGGATGCTGAAGCCGACTGACGTCGAGTATGATTTCTGCTCGAACATAAGCGGGGTGCTCTTCTCCAACTTTTGATGGTGCTACATCAACAATGGCAGGCTTCATGATGGGCAGTGACATTTTTGATACACCGGTGAACTTGGTGTTGATGCCTCTGCCTTTTGGTTTGACGCGTTTTACGACGTCCTCCATGTCTTTGCGAATACCGTAAAACGACTCAGCCCGATACAAGATAAATGATCTCCACAAGAAGTCACCCATGGTCAGGTACTGGAGGTTCAGCTTTGGAATTGCAAGCGGTCGTGAGCCGTCGTAGGATTCGTTTCGCAAAAATGTAGTTTCGTAAAGAATCTTTTCTGTTGGTAGTACTGGCATACCACGGACTGTGTCTTTGAAAGTCGGGCGTTGCTCGACGAGCATGATTAGGGTCTCCATGTAGAAAGCACGATCCCGCACCAAGTATGTTGTGGCAGGATACTCTGTTCGTAGACTCATGAGCGAACAAAGTTCAACAAGCTCTTCATCACTCAATGTGCGCAAGTGGCCATCCAGCTCTTCCCTGTTTCCAATACTCTTGTAGTTTGCCAGTGCCATAAGTTGGAGTTTTTCTTGGAATGCAGCGTAGCCCGTCCGTTGTAACTTGGACAAAAGGTCATAGTGCTGCTGGTCATACTCGAGCTTCGACAATTGTCTGCCAGTCTGGTCCTCGATGGAGAAGTTGGTGAAGTGGCTGAGCAGGTCAAACAGATCGCGGAACAGGCCGTTGTCCTCGTCGGCGTACATGGGCGACAAACGGATAGCCGAGAGCATGTTGAGGTCCTTGAGTAGAGTGTTGACATATCTCCTTGTAGGCAGCTGACTCTGTAGGTCTATTAGCAGCTCCATGAAGCGCTCACAGTAGGCCATATTGTCCCTCATGTCTTGGATATTGCTACTGTTATATAACTGGTCGATGAAGTCCAGAAGGAGCGTGTAGAGCCACGAACGCTCGAAGCGCAGGCGAGCCTGTAGTGCATCGTCTCCAGCATCGAAGCGTTTAGACGCAGCTCTCCAAGCCTTGCGCAGCATACTGTGCTGCTCAAAGTACTGCTCACGCACAGCATCTGAATGCAGGTTCTGCCATATGGATATGCCGACCAGAGGGGCGCACTCTTTTCGCACCAGGCCGCTGTCAAGTGACTGGAAGGCGCCGATGACAAAGGATATGAGCTGTGTGCGGATCTTGCTTGGCTGCGAGGGGTCGACGGTCATGGACAAGATGCGACGGAAGAAGGATGAGAATTCGGCGGGTTTGGTTGAGAAGTGTTCTGTTCAGTGTCAGCGCAGTCCCTTTAAGTAGCTAGCAACAACGGCGCAACGTACCCCAAGACGACAGGTTCTCCCTCCTCTTAACATTTAACATGAGGGCCAGCAGCAGATGGTGGTAGTTTGATGCATCTTCTGTAAATCCAGGCCACAAATAGCGCTCCAACAGCTGCAGATTCTCGAGGATCAAGAGCGACGAGTATGCAAAGTCGGCGCTCTCCAGCTGGTCCCAGAGCTCCTTCTTGACAACTTCAGGGCGCACTTTGGGCGTCTTTTTCGCGGCCAGCCAATTCTTCCTCGCAACTTGCGCGAAGTGGTTCTCGCCGTGCAGGTCGGCGACAGTTGGGCGGGCATGTAGGCTGGCCAGGTCGGGCGCATGCGCAGCGGACGCGCCTGGGGAGGTGGTGGAAGACATGGAGTCGCCCGTCGGGGTAACGTCGTCCATGTGGTCTGGCTTCATGGCCATGGTCGCGATGCAGAGAGGGTGTCGGCGCAAGTGAAGGGGCGCGCGCGCATTGTCGACGCACGAGGTTTGGCGAATGGCGTAGTGACGCGCCAAGAAGTAAAGTTTCTGGAGTGGATGGCGTTGCGGAAGCTCCAACGACTACCGGCCCGCAGTGCCAAGCCTTACATCCAACCTCACTCGCCCAGCCCGCAGCAAGCACGCCCTCGGCCGCAGTGCATATCAACACCACAATGACCAACGCAGACGAGGCAGTCAGGCACCAGGCTGTCGTGCCGGACAAGCTCCCCACCGGAGAGTACCCTGTGAGTCAATTGCGCCCTCGGCTGTCCTGCAATGGCTCGCACCAACTAACGCCGACAGCTCATCGACAATGACCCGTACGCCTTTATTATCTTCTGCTGCCACATGCTATGACTAACCTCTGCAAAAAAGACACTTTAGCCGCGTAATGCGGTACACCCGCCCCTCCGACTGGGCCTACGGTGCCGCCCTCGGAAGTTTGAGCCCTGGTTTGATGCTTTACTGGGAGAAGGTGTCGCCCTCCATGGTCGGCAAGGGTGGTTTCGCCCCCGTCATGCGATTGACCGGCGCTGTTGGAGTGGCTGGATGCTTCATGTTCGCCTACTCGAGGTCATGCAGTACGTCATACACGGGCAGGGAGGCAGACCACATGCTAACACACAGCAGTGCGTTTCTACGGTGCGCGTGAGAACCGCCGCGAGGTGGAGATGGACATGCGCGAAATGGTCGACAAGGTCAAGAAGGGCGAGCCGCTGTATGGAAAGTCGGAAATGAGCGAGTACATGCAGGGAGTCGCCCACCGAAACTCGCGCTATGCCGCCACATTTGGTCACGTTATCCCATGGCCAAACCTTGTCAACCACCCCTACCACGGTGTTGACACTGCAAAGTACTACCGACAGGCTGAGTTGGAACTTGAGCAGGAGAGGCTCGCCCGCGAAGGTCGGTAGAGCCAGAGAGGCTGTAACAGACAAAGCGTAGTTTTTTGAGTCACAGTGGCTGTAAATAAGTTCAAACAAGCCAAGTGAGCATGTATCAACATGTGTTTCTTGTTTTCATTCCATCCCTAGTTTATAGAGAGTCCCTCCAAGACCTTGCTCTGTCCAAACTCGGCCATTTTGAATTTACTAATCCAGTCGTCCCGAGCAATGTACGCACCACAGATCCTTCTCTTCCCAGTGAAGCTGCTCCGTCCATGTAGCACTCTCCAGTTATCGAAGATTAGTACCCGTCCTGACTTCAATTGCTCCCAGTACTCGTTCTCTTTCTTCTTCAGCAATGTATCAAACTTCCTTGCAGCATCGTACCACGTTTCCACCTGGTCGATGGGGAGCTCAATCGACGCGCGATCAGAAGAGTTCCAGCGCACGCGCAGGAGATCTCCCGTTGCAATATCGTGTTCCAGCACGGGGAAGCCGCGGTATGGCTGAATCGATATGCCATCGTTCCCTGACGCATGTCCATGAACATTTACCGTGGCGAGAATCCCGTACGCCTGCTTGTCCGTTTTGAGAAGTTCTTCAGCAACCTTGAACCCGTCGACAAGCAAACTAGCTCCCCCCTCCCCATCCGTATGCGACAGCAAATGGAACGCCTGCAGTCCCGCTGGATCAGAAAAGTAAGTCGTATCCGTATGCGCCTCCAGCGCAATATTCGTATACGCCGTATCCTTACTCGCCAAATCAGCCGTAAAGTCGTAGAACCCACCATAATGCGTCTCGCGTATAAACGCAATCTTCTCCAACAACGCCTTCGTATCCTGCGGATCCTCAAACGGCGTCCCATCCACATAGCAAAACCCATATTCACGTAGATGCTTCAGCAATCCCGCCATCTCCCCGCTCATAACACCCTTGTAGTCCACTATCGGCGGCTCCGCCGCAACCCCCTTATCCCACAGAGAAAGCGGCACAAGCCCCAACCGCTGCACCACCTTCGCCGCCTCCGTCTTAAGCGTCTGGCGCAGCAGCGAAAAAGGATAAGAACTCTCATGTCCATCCTCCCACGTAACTTTCAACCTCCTCCCCCCATCCCCCTCCTCCTCCCCCTCAATCTCATACTTCTCCATCCCAATCCCCGCCGGAATCCCAAACGAATCCACCAACCGCTGTCGCGTATCCCCATGCATACAAGTCCCACACTGACAATTGTCCCTCAACCACACATTCGGGATCCGCTTATCACCCACCCACACGCTCCCGTCACGCATGTCCACTCGATCTCGTCGCACAGGAGGCGCCATGACGCTGACACGCACGTTGTACGGTCCTTGCAGTCTATGGTGCAGCCCGCGCTGCCGCGCCTGCAGCTCATTGAGTTCGAATTGTGCCTGCCGCAGGAACTGCGACATGCTGGTTGCGCGGATGGGATCGGCTTTTCCCAGGTGGAAAGAACGGGATCTGGAGGAAAGTTGGCTGGTGTATGGGACGGGGCTTATATTTGTGCTTTTTGGTTCTCTTGGGATGGCAGTAGGTTCCTTGGTATTAGCTTTTGAGAGTTCGGCTTTGCGGTCATTTTTGGAGTCTTTTGGGTGTTTGGGGCTAGAGGTTGTCTAGGAAGTCTGTTAGTATTGTGGTGAATTGGATAAGACACGTGATCGTATTTACTTGAGAATATGGTCTAAGTTGCGATACATGTCTCGTGGCATTGGCAGTGTTTGGTGTACATCGCGATGCTCGCGCCCCCAACATGATGGGCAATTGGGGTGTCGAGGTGCTGTGCAGGATGTGGAAACAAGGGTAGCCCCAAGTTTTGAGCGACAGGTGGTTGTGGACCGAGGGAAAGATTGGTCGTATACTGGTGCGGAGTCACCAGTTCGGGTATCGGTTACTTTGCTCTCCACCTGACAGTTTGCGTAGATTGATATAAATAACATAATCCAGAAAAATCTCATCTTCTGGAGATCAAAGGCACCATGGCCTAATGGTAAGGCGTTGCTTTCCGGTGGCAAAGATTGTGGGTTCGAGTCCCACTGGTGTCGTCTTTTTGCCTTTCGCTTTTTTGATCTTCCGATCAAACTGTGCCTCTTCCTTTGTTCTCGCTTTTCTTCTTCTAAGCGAGTTAGGTTTTTTGGTTGTGGAGTGAGAATGCAGCTACTAGGCCCCCCACCCCCACCTTTTGGAAACCGTAGATCATCAGTCAAGAACAATACGTATAGGGAGGTTTCCAGGTATGACCCTAGAACTATTATAGCGCGATACAATACAAAGATACGAGAAAACTCGGTAGATATACAATCATCGGCATTGTTAAGATAATCGCGGCGACCTCCTGGTGAATAATGGCACAAAAGAGTATTTGCTCTATATTTTGAATACGAAAAATTGACAAGCAAAATCCAACCAAGTCGCTACAGTCATGCTGCATGTTTGTCAAAGGATATGATTAAAAGTACACGAGACACGAAGATTGCTGTGTCCTTTTCTCTCTCAGCTAAGCATGTATCCAAGAAACCAAAATAACAACTCCCGTGCTATGCTACCACTATGACAAACAACCTCCCCCCGCCTCACAATCATTAAACGTAATGGTAAAAGTCTGAAACGCATGATATCCACCTTTACATGCCCAGTGCACAGATACACAGCCCGCACATGACTACCAGAAACTACACCAGCCGATGTAATGCTGACATAGATTCTCCAAGTTGGTTGCTTCCTTGATGAGTCGATCGACCTGCATCTCTGTCTTCAATTCCTCGCCTTTGCCGAAATCACGGCCGGTTAGCTTCTCCTTGACGCGGCTCAGTACTTGCAAGGCACGCGCATTCTGTACTTCCTTGGCATCGGCTTCGTTGTTTTGGGGCGGAGCAACAGAGGAGCGGTGGCGGGGGCGACCGACAATGCTGGACATTTGGTGTGGGTCGGTGGTTGCGGCGGCGGTGTCAGCACCCATGATGGATTGGCGACGTTCAGACGGGTAGTTGGGCTCTATAGGCGACGCATCGCGGTGGTTCAGGCGCCAGGTCAAGAGTGGATCATGTATGAACTGTGATTGATTATGTTAGTATCATTCCGTTTCTTCATTTTCGATTTCGTAAACAAACGACTTACAGCTTCAAGAACCGCCATGACACTCTCCTTGTTGCTTCGTAATACCCGCATGACATGCTCACAAGTGGTTCGGTAGCTACCCTCAATATTGCTCACTTCCATGGCGTATGTCAACATACGCGTAAGACGGAACGGCACGCGCTCAGGATACTTCTCACGGTGCATGGCCACCTCAAAACAGTCTCCGAAATCGATGTGGATAATCTTGCCGGTAACTCGGTCCAACATTAAGTTACTTGGGTGGCGATCTCCCAGGCCGAGAATGTATCCGACCATAGACATGACAGCAAGCGAACGCGTGTAGTTGGTGCGGCGATCAAGCCAGGCTTCCGAAGATTTAGACTTGAGCCAGAGGACGCGGTACAGATCTTGACCCGTCGTATTATCGAGGGCGTAACCGAACACTTCCACTTTTTGCATAAGAGTGAGGCAATCGTAGTCAGGCGCCATCTGTAACATGATACGGTGTTCAATGTTAAGCAGAATCTTCCGACTGTCTCGATACTCTCGGATGAGCACGTGCAGCGTGTCACTATTAGGGACGAAACCAAGCAAACCAGACTGCGTACTAAGCGGAACGGCAGCATATCGTTGAATGTTAAGGTGACGCTTGCGTGACTCCACATCGTTGGAGAGCAGTGTGTTACAGAGACCAAAGAGTTGCATGACACGTTCATCCTGGCGAATGTCTTCGTGTCCTTTGAGAATGTGGGTATGTGCTTTGCCGTCGCTGCCACGCATTTCCAGTTTCCTAGGTCGCTGTTTGGACTGGATAACAGTTGCGACTGGATCAAAGGAGATAATTCGAATAACAGGCTTACCAACCTGGTAGGTTCCAGGAACCGCGAGCTCAAGATCGTGTGCTTCCTTGAGTTTGGGTGAGACATACTGTAACTCAAGTGTCATCAAGGAAGGTAGTTGTCGCGCAATCTTGCGGAACACCTGGTAGTAGAGATCCCACGCCTGATTAAGATCGCCTATTTCACCGGAGGTCCTGAACGTGTTGCACCAGTCACGCGCCTCCTGAAGTTCACGACCAAAAGACTGGATGAACGAGATTTCGCGGAGTGTTTCAGGGCCGTTATCGAGCATTGCGTGAAGGGGTGCCAGTGTGGCGAACATGCCATCTATGTTGTGATCGCCAAAGTACAATCGACTGGCCTCCTCAAGACCCTCATGCCATTGTTCATGCCACAGGACAGCGATGCGAATCAGCTCATGACTGACAAGATCGGCTTGCTCAACCAGCCGTGGCGAGTGTTCGCGCATAGCCTCCATAAGTTCCTTTGCAGATCGCTGACGTCGTGAGACATCGGACTTCATAGACACAGTCAATGGGAAAACCAAGGCTTGAGGATGTGCTTTTCCGACCTCGATGAGCAGTTGATGTATGGATTGCCGGACGACAGCGTTGGGCTGATTGATTCGAGCAAGCAGTTGCGGGATGACCTCAAGCCAAGTATCGATTGGAACAGACTTTGTGCCCTCAGTGATGGTACGGTTGACTCCCTCTCTACCACCATAGCTGAACCACAGGGTAAGCAGCCTCAACGTGTCTTGCAGCGAACTGGTTGATGACAGTGCAATGGATTTGAAGAAGCCTTGGATAGCCGGGATGACATGATCGTGAATAATGTTATGAGGCACGTCGGTAGCTTCCCGATCAGACTTGGATGTGATGGAGTTGATGACTTCAAAGTTGGCAAGTGCCCATGCATGCCACGCCTTGTACCAGTCTTTGTTGTAGCGTGTAGCAGCAGCGTAGGCGGCGAGAATCTCATGCACAAACTCGTGGTCCCATTCGCCGTCGTTGAGTTCTTGTTGCCAGTCGCCCTGCTTCAGATAGCATTTGGCCAGCAAACGGTGGCATTCGGCGAGGTCCGTAGGCGAGGTGCTAGTGACTGATCCGTTCATCAGACTCGACCCATGCATACCATTGACCCCATTATGACCATTGGTGGCAGCAAAGGGGTTCACGTTACTGAACATGTGCTGACCATTAGACATACCGTTCATGCCATTCTGTGCCATCATGGGGTTCACTGCGGCCCGGCTCCTCATGGCAAGGTCCTCGGAAAGTCGCGTAGTGAAGTCCTTCATGCTATCGAGTGCTTCTTGCTTGTGATTTTGGTCGGCCCACATGTACTTGTATGTAGTATAGGCTACGGGATGCGAGATCTCGTGAGCATTGTTCCGCACAAACTCAACCACGGTGCTATCACCAGTACTCTCGATATCAAGTAACTTCTGGAGAGCCTTATTTGCGAGGTTCATCCTGTTGCTCTTCCTGCACAGATTGGTGTATTTGATCCACATGTCGGTGCCTTCTTGTGGTGAGATAACAAGCTGGCGCACTTTGATCATACGTTGCCAGACTTCTGGATTTGGTTGCAATCCCCTAAGTCGCTTCATCCAGGTCTTGCGCATACTCTTCTGCTTTTCGAGGTTGCCCTCGTTCTGCTTGTATTGCATAATTTCCTCAAGCTCTGCAAGCATCTGCACACGAATCATTGGCAAGTAAGCCCGCTGGTATGACTCTCCCAGAAGCGAGCTGAGCTCCGTGTCCAGACCCTTTCGAGCCTTTGCAATTTCATCGACGGCGATTTCGAATCGGTTGTTGTGGATATTGAGAATAGAAGCAAAGAACGCGCGGTCAGGCGACTGCTCCTTCATGACACCAAGGTAGTTGTCCATGTCCGCAAATTTGCCCAGACCCCACGCAGCCGTCGCAGCGAGCGGTGCTATCGCCTTGCGGTACTCCTGTGAAGCATTGGCCCACTTCTCCTTGGACAGACTAGAAAGAAGATCCCACTCGCCCAGAGCGTGCAAGCATCGCATCTTGCCCATAGTCACATCGAAAGAGTCGGGCTCTTCAAGTTCACGTCTCTGGTAGGCAGCAAGTGCCTCATCCCATTTCTGCAATTTCTCGAACCAAGTCTCCTTGAGCTCGACATCGTGGTAATTCTGTGCCTTACGTAAAATACCAAAGGCTGCGTCGGTCTGCTGGAGTTGGTTGTTGATGCTAATAAGGGCTTCCACAGCGCTGGAATTCTGCTCCGCGTTGAATTCGAGCTCCTTATAGTGCAGTGCTTTGGCAAAAGCATGACATTTTCCAGCATACATACCAAGTATCCTAACATCGATTGGTAGTGCTTTATCGTCGTGCTCCATAAACTCTGCCAAGTTAAGCAAAACCTGAAGTATCTCAGGTGGGATGTTTGGTGATGTGAGTGCGGTTTCGATGGACCGAACAAGTTCTTCCTGATATTGATCGTACAATTCTGTCCAACATGAGACGAAAGCCGAGTTGAATAGTGTCCTGGCAATGGGGTTGTACACGCTTCCGAGTGGTGTACAAGCGCGTAGTGCTTGCTGAGGCGACTCTCTGAGGAGCTCGACACTGAATCTCCGCATCCATTCAATCCAATCCTCTTTGGTGGTCTTATTGGAGGCTTCCCAAGCTTGCTTCAAGTGCTGTTGGTTGACCGCCAACTTCTTGGTAAGGATCTCAGCGGGGTTCAGATCTTCATCATCCTCGCCATATCGCTCGTCTGGGCTAAGATCCTGCGGTAGGGGTTCGCCCTTCTGCAGCTTCGATACGATACGGGCATAGTTCTCATGAGGTACCTTGTGCGCAA